TCCTGTGATTAATAATTTACTCCTGGATGTATCTGCTCTGCCTGCTGTGCTGCACTGTGTGTGTGTGTGTGTGTGTGTGTGTGTGTGTGTGTGTGTGTGTGTGTGTGTGTGCGTGTGTGTGTGTGGCCACCTCTGCTCGTCTCCGGCTGTCTCAGGGGTTTGAATGGCCTTAGATGTGTGCGTTTGATTGATGGTTCTGCCGGGTTGAATGTAGGCTAACGGAGCAACTGGTTGATGAGGGGAAAGCACTGAGCAGCCGAGGAGAAGTGTATTATGGGAAATACCGGCAGTGGCACTTGGACAGGAGGAAACTCCTGCTGCTCTGCTTAAATGGGGTCTGCCTGTTGATTGTGATTTTGAGAGCTGTTATTAAGACAATGCAAAGGTAATTGTATAGGTTTAGTTAGTAAGTCTTCAACCATCAGCTACTCTGACTGGGTCAATGGATGTTCCACTATGGACTGTAATGGCAGCACTGTTTATAAACTACTTAAAATGTAACATTTCTGTACTGACATTTGTAGTTACTTATTGTTCAACACCAACACCAATATTATATCTGCAAGAAGCCAATATCAGCCAATACATCAGTCTAGCTCCAGTGTGAACCTGTCGTGACGTCACCCATTGGTTTGTGGAGTACGGTGCCATAAAGCAGGGTATGCTTTAGGATGGGGCTACTTTGTGATTGACAGGTCATTCTCAGTGAGTTCGTCCAGCTCAACCCACCAAACACAGATCAAACTGTCAAACTAGGCAGTGCTGATCAGATATGGATCCAGATTCTGTTACTGTGTTGACTATTTGTCTCATCAAATCTGTTCAAACATATTTTATTGTACTGTACCAGGCGATTGGCTTCGCTTCACTGACCCAGAAGCTCTGTCTACATACTATATACTGTCAGGTGTCTAGCTTGATACACAGAAATCTGGCCTGAGAAAACGCAACACAACATTTTTCCAACAAGGTAGCAGTTCAGTACTTCATCATTATGGCCATTTATAGCTTATAATAAGGCAATCTCGTATATAGAAAACACACTCCCACTGTGTCCTTTGTTTTTGACAGAGAAGTCTACTCTGAAACACTTCAAGTATCTGGGCCCAAGCTGCGGTATCTGGTTTCTTTATTGTATATAACTGTATAACCATACAGTCATCTATATTTCAGCAGCTACAGTTCTTCACTCTTCAGCAGGTTATTTTAACCCACTCTGAAAAGCTCCTCTTCAGTTGTAATTTTACAGTTTGGGGATTATGGATATCAGTTAGCTGCCTGTCAGCCCGGTCTGCCGCTGCTGAAACATGCCATCCTCTCCTCACACATATTAAAGCACAGCCCAGACAAGATGATGAAACCGCTGGCAATGTCTTGTTTACCAAAGCCCCTCAACTGTCTCTGAACAATTTACCCAGCGTGGTGGTGGGGAAGAAAGAGCAAAAACATAAATGTAAAAACGTCAAACGCTGGGCTAATCCAAAGCCAGAAATCTTTATGCAATTTCTCTAAATCATTTCTCCATTTTGTTGTAATGGTGTAGTCAATATTGATTGCAGAGCTACCTCTGGCTCACAGTTATCGTGCTCACAGAGCTGTAAACAGAACAAACTGCATATGACTTTAATTGATTTTAAAGTAATGTCTCTCATTTTTATTATCTTTAGAAACCTGTGTCTGACCTTGGGTGTTCTCCCAGTGAATAAACTGTACTGTGCTCCTACTAATGATACCTACCTAATGATGACAATGATGATGGATGTGGCCACCCTAGCACTTTGATCCAGGTTGCCCAGATTTCTGGTATGGACAAACACTTTGGTCCATGACAAGGTATCTTGAAAATGAATTGCTGGATCTCCATGAAAAGTGTAATATTTTTCAGATGTTGATATATATCCCAATTTGACAAATGTAGGTGCAATATCTGTATTTTGATATTCATTACAAAACAAGTCTATGTATTTTACTCTCCCATCTACTCCCCCAAAACAAAACCCATATTTTAAGACCTTATACAACTATAAGGGAAAAAAATGAGAAACAATGTGAGTCCGTCCAGCTCAACGCACCAAACTCAGATCAAACTGTCAAACTAGGCAGAGCTGATCAGATACGGATCAAAATTCTGTTACTGCATTCACTATTTCTCTCTTGAAATTGCTTCAGAAACATATTTTAGTGTACTGTACTATCTGTAATTGACTCAGGTGGTAGAGCGAGACGTCCAATAATCATAAGGTTGAACCCCAAATGCTGATGCTGTGCATCAGTGTAAGTGTAAATGCTCTGATGAGCAGTTGGCACCTTGCATGGCTGGTGCTGCCATCGGTGTGTGAAAGGGTGAATGTGATGTGTAGTGTAAATCACTTTGAGTGGTCAAAAGACTAGAAAGGTACAGTCCATTTAATAGGAGATTGTGTGTGACCGGGTGAGCCGCCATTGTTTCCTGCTACAGAAGAGTCAAAACTGAGCAGCCAATGAGAGCCAATCTGACAAATGTAGGTAAAATGTCTGTATTTTGATACCCATTACAATACAAAGAAAATCATGTCAGTTTATTTCTTTTACTCTCCCATTTTAAGACCTTATGCAACTATAAAGGGAAAAAAAGAAATGAACAGAAAAAAACAGATGGATTTGTCTTCAAATCTTCAAACTTACACCCCTTTGTATCTTGTGTCTCTTCCTCTCAACATTCATTTAACTTGACTTCATTTAGGTATAAAAGACCTCAGTGTGAACCCCAGAATTGCACTGCATAATGTCTAAATTTTTCCCATCTTAATTCAAATAAACCAGCTTCCTAATGTTATGGGGTATCATCTCCGTTTTGTAAATTTCCTTAATCACCTCCATCCATTTTCCTGTTTGTGGTGCAGTTGGTTTCAGCTGCTTTATCTGCTTAAGCGCCGCTAACGGGGCTGTACTTGCTCTGGCCCCAAAGACAGTATGCATTTAAGTAGATTATCTATGATTTTGTGTATTTTGGTCCAATATCGCTGTACAAGATGCAGGAGGAAAGTATGTGAATATGGTCAGCAGTACTATCCCTGCACATTTGCCAGCTTTGCTTGAATAACAAGTGGTTAAAAGAGTCATAGTTGACTTCTGTGTATTAGTACTTATCCTTCCATTCTGCTGGTGAAATATTTCATCAAGCGGCAGTATTAGACGAGTCGGGAGTGAGAATGTGTTGGCTATACACAGCTAGAACCACAGTAGAGCTCAAAAGCAGAGTACAATAGGTTACAGTAGAGTACAATACAGTAATAGTAAAGTGAAGTCTTAGGCAATAGTCTGAGGAATACACTAGATGACTAGCAATGTCAGTGAATGCATTTTCCCTCTTTCTTTTGTTTTTACTTTCAGCCAGCAGAGTAGCTCCAAAAATATGAACGCAGTGGGTAAATAGTGGTCTTGAACAATTTGCAAGCATCATGAAAAGCAACAGAGAACGGTCTGAGCCGGAAGTGTTCCTGAGGGGGAAGCAGGAGACGATCTACAACGCTGAGATGATTGGCCCGCGGGCCACAGGGAGAAAAGACAGAACACTATACTTCAGCAAGCCCCCAGTGCTGGGCTCTGCCTATTCAAAAGCCATGAATCAGCAGAAAGCAGCCCCCTCTATGCCTACACACACACACACACACACACACACACACACACACACACACACACACAAAAGCCGAGGGCTGATGAGACAGACAGACTGCATGCTCAGCTGTCTGTGTTGGGGCTTTATGTACTACAGCATTGAAATGAAGCACAATGGACAGAGTTGCCTGCAATCAATGTGGAAGGCTGCTTTATATCTACTTTAATATATCTATATCTAGACATATACATATGGATATATACACCTGTATACACAGATTTCACATTACATTTCAATTCAGTACAGTAACCCAGGAGTGAATGGCTAAACACAATCTTGTATCCATCTACTGTTAGTTATCTGAGATATGTGAAGCTCATCATTGTAGCCCTAGAGGAAAGGTTACAGAGTCTTTAAAATCTTGGCAGCATGAATGTGCTCAGAGATATCATAATATGATCATTTTCTTTGACCAGCAGATATTCAGCTTACACGATCCAAACAAAAAAAGCAAATCCTCAGACTGAAACACTGGAACCAGAATGTTTGACATTTTTGGTTCTTCAGTACTTAAAGGTCCAGTGTGTAGGATTTACTGGTATCTAGAGGTGTAGTCGTTATTAACTACAGAATGAGCGTTATTCGCCATGTTGAACCGCCATGTTTCTACAGTAGCCCAGAATGAACCAACCAAACACTGGCTGTAGAAAGGGCCTTTCACCTTTGTCATGGGTTTTGTGGTCACTATTGTTTCTCCTACACACTTGGAGTGGGAGCATGAACCACAGGCCTTATTTCAGGCATCTAACCAACAACCCATTTAAAAACTCATTGACCTCTGGGTGAAAGAACTGGACGTGCTAAAATGCTAAATCCCTGTTTGAGGACTGATCCCTGCAGCACTATATATATAACAATGGTGTTAGGGGATTTCATATTTCATTTGCTGATGCTTCATGAACTTAAAACTCAAATAACTCGGCTACTAGATGCAAATTTGCTAAACACTAACTGAAATAGCAAATTTGTTACTATACCTTTTTATCCCTCTCCATCAGGTTTTCCACTTTTATAGTTCACCATTTTCCCTCATCACTATTTTTGGTTGTGTGTATCATTGTTGGAGGTCTTGTTTGGGTAGCATCTGCAAATGATGTCACAATGGGGGATTTATTTTGAAATCCGAACTTGATCTTAAAGAACACATACTGCAAATCTTACCCACCGATATATGTTAGCATGCACACATGGATTTTCTTTTGCTACAAAGTCACAATGCTTCTGTAGTGCACCTATTGCATTCTTTTATGGCAGTCTGAACACAATGAGTAGCCTTAGGATACTTATGTAGGTTTAACCCATATAGCTACCTGACATGCCGTCCTTTCTTTCCTCTGTGCAGGGTGCTAGAGGGAGTTATGTCGGCAGGCGAGGACGATGGGGAGGCGGCAGCGCCCGTGTACGTGTACGAATCCAAGGTCCACTGCGCCAACGTGCTGCTTAGCCTGGAGGAGCAGCGACGGCAGGGCATCCTGTGCGACGTGACCGTACTGGTGGAAGGAAGGGAGGTGCGCGCGCACAGGGCCGTCCTTGCTGCTAGCAGTCGCTACTTCCTGCAGGCGCTGCTGGGTCACAATGGGTCACTGGGCGAAGTGGAGCCCATCATTAACCTGCCAGACAAGGTAAAGGGCCACAATGAAAACATGGAAAAAAAGAGCAAGAACATTCAGGGAGTTTCACAGGGAGTGCTCTTAGGTCATTTTTAAAAATAAATGTTACAGGGGAGTCAAACTTTCAACTTTCAGGGAAAATAACCCCTGATGAAGTCTTTGGGGTTATCTCAGTTTGGGCGTACAAATGTATAACAGAAAACAGTGTTAGAGACACTTTAAAGATGTGGGCATTCATCAGGGTAGATGCCCACATCTTTCCCTTCTTGTCCTTCAATTGAAATGGGTGAGGGTTAGTGTTATTATGGGAAATGTAATAAACCAATATGCAATAAAACTAATAGGATCCAGTGTTTTTATGAGCTTGACCCATGCAAGGGACAAAGTCATAATATCTTTGATCTTGACTATACCTTTTTTTAGTCAGTGAGATGCAATGAATTGTCACTGTCTGACAAAGAAGTCAGTGGGCCACCAAGGGGTGATATGATTGCTGGCCCAGCCTTGCATAATATGCTCCTGAGTAATGAGTACTGTGTGCATAATATGCTTTGATCTGATATTTTACATTAGTTGCTTTTCATTTAAGTAAGTACATTTTTCACAATGATTCACGTGAAAGAAAGTAACAAACACATTTAACTGCATCACACAACGCATAGCCAGTCAGCCAAACATATTCTGCAATGCACAGAAGTGACTCATTTATGTCAAAGTAATTATAAAATTAGTAATTAATAATTTTCCATAAAAGAGTCCTGATCTGAAAAGGATCAGAGGGTGGTTAGACCTGTGGACAGATACAAACAGGGACAGAACAAGCACAATGGCAGCAGCGTATGCCGTGGGAAGAAACAATGCATTGTTCCTGCACAGTTCACACTCTGTCTGCCTTAATGTGTGATGAAGATGATGATGCATCACATGATCATGGCTGCTAGAGAGTCTGGTCTGATCCAGTCAGGTATTAGACATACATTAAACTCAATCATTTTGCAAGGGCTTTTGTCCAAAGCGACATACATATACGGTAAGGTACCACCTCCATCTGAAGTGCCATAAGGCTGCAGGTGCATGAAGTAACATACGAGTGCCTTTTTTATTTTAGACAGTGAAAGGATGGAGAGGGAGGGAGAGAGAGAGCATATTATGTGAGTAAATACTCTCAGAAGGCATATATCTTCAAGCGATTGTTTAAGCTTGGTAACCGAGGGATCACACTGGAGAGGAGTGTGAATTAAGATTTCACTTCTCGCAGTGACAGCAGGACTCAGTGTACTGTACATACTGCAAGCATTAGTGACTAGAGGTTAATGCCAGCAGCATCATGGAGCCAGTGGTGTAATGAAAAGTGGACTGACGTACAGTATTGACAGAACCAATGCGATAGAAGTGGACCCTAGCAGGACCCAACTATGCTGTACTACATATGTACCACAGGCTGGTCACAGTTCTTGGGAACCAAGTGAACCTTTAAAGTCCTCTTTACAGGCTTTAAACGTATGCATCTACCAGTGTGAATTAGCCCAGTATGAATGTAAAGCAGGGGCAGGATGGAGCTGGACAAACGCACGTAGCTAACTTGACCTTGAGGAGGAGGGGCAGATGGATGGAAAAAGCAGGGTTGACACAAATTGATCTGTTTATGAAAACATGTTGGGCATGAATATCAATGTGGTTACCTTGTTAGTTGCTGCCACTTCTGTTCACCACCGGGACTGATCAGGAAACAGCTCGTGATCCCAGTGGCTGACGTTACCATATAGTGTCCCAGATCTGTCATATTGATTAATACGTCTGTGTGACTCTACCTTATACAGTAATCACTCGCACAGGCCTCCACCACTTCAAACTCAATCCCCTAATGACTGTAAGCATTGCTTTGTTTTCCACATCCTTTCTGCTGCCCGTTCACTCACCCACTCATACATTACTGAACTCACTGTGGCTCAAAGATAAACACATTTGGGTGTAGAATCTAGCAGGACTAAGCACACTGCTACATGACTATTAGGCTCTGGGATTAGGGAAATTGCAGTGTCTTAGTTTTTGTAACATGGTTCTTGTCTATTTTCACCCGACTAACCAAAAGCAGAACCATATGGAAAATTGGCAATGAAATCACTTTCACTTTCAAAAAATACTTGGCAGGTGATTGGATGAACCCTCTGTCTATCACTATCTTAGACTAACTTCAACTAATCAGATCAATGAACCAGTAAGCCAGTCAATGAAGAGTGCCGTTCTTTGCTTTTCTTTCAATGAAGAAATACTCTCCAGTTCTCTACTACTCTCCCATAGAGCTGATGCCAGTAGCATCTACACTAACCTCTTGAGCAGCTGCCATTGTTGTTTTGGGACAGTCCTGAATTATGAGTTGCCCCAAATCCCAAATCCTGTACTGTGTGTCCCAAAAATGAAGCGTAGTAATAGATATTATGAAGGAGCTAAAAGGAGACCTGTGTGTATGCTGTGAGACTTGACTTGAAGGCAAAAATGCTGAGGAGATCTGATTTGGTGATTCAGTAATATTGAAAACTGCTACACTAAACATATTGTGTATTTTGGAGTGCTGTCAACTTGTCATGAATAATAATTAATAACATAACAGATATGCACAACAAACTGCTGCTGTCACCAGAATAAAAGTCTCTAAATTCAAATAAGGGGAACCCTTTCATTAAATTATCAATTACTCTTTATAATAGATCAATAGTTTTTTTTTACTCTGACTGTGAGAGTATTCTGATCAAATCACTTATGTTGGCTGTAATTCCTGCTTTTAGATATTAAAAGTGTCCTTTTGCTTTTTGTGTCATATGCAAGTGTATTACTGATGTACTTGAACTTGTCTATTGCACTGATTAGGCTATCTATTGTTGATAGGGAGTACAGCTGCAAAAAAAAATGATATTTCAAAAAATGTGTTTGTAAACTCCTACAGCTTAATGACAATCTTGGCTGAGGAAAGGACATTAAAATGACTGTAACGTAACGGTCGCCTGTGTATAATGGTTTGTGTTTCTTTTAAACACTGCACTTTATATCATCCTCACTAATACGAGGCCCTGTGACCAAGCACACCTATACTCCCCTGTCCTGGGGTGGCTGTGGCTCAGAGGCAAAGCAGGTCGTCCACTAATCGGAAGGTTGTTCAATCTTATGCTTTACAGTTGAATTTGAGAGTCATTATTAATTCGCTAAAGCTTACTGACTTTGGGACACTTTGGGATTGGGACAGTTTCAAACTGTTTAAAATCCATATGAAGAACCCACATTTGCTAAAGATAACCAAAAATATGTCAGGCTGAATTTAGGGAAAATGTATGAAGTGATTCACAAAACATGTAGAACATTTCCATTTAATGGAAAAGTATAAATATCATACAGCTTCAAGATAATAAAGAATAATATATAGAATTCATATCATACTTTCAGACAGTGTGGAATAACATGATTTTTTTTTAACATTAAAACAACTGAAGGCAAAATACAAGGTGAAAGTTAGATGTTAATGATCAATCATCCTCATTGATTATTCCCATCTCTCCCTGCTGCTTGCTGCTTATTAGCAAGGTTGGTACAAAGGTGGAGGAGTGTAGCTTCTCCTGGCTCCTCTCTGTGCCATACAGATGTGCTTCTGCAAAGGAGGCAGCAGCTGCTGACGCCAGCTGAAAATAGGCTTATATACTCATGTACACACACATGCACATGCAGCATTATAGAGTAAACACACATGAACACACACATGAAGACATGAAAGTAGCCATGCTTACTGTAGGGAACAAGAAGAAAGCAGGGGAGATGAGAGGGGTGCAGGGCGGGAGAGAGGGAGTGAGCAAAAGGATCCAGGCAAGAATACAAGACATGTAAGATTAATAAAGCGCGTATATGGCAAAATAACTCACTGTGAAAAAAGTGGATAGGTTGCTTGTGGGGTAAAATTCAGTTTCACCCATTTCTAGCTCACAACGTTTTTTTCCAATCAGTATTTTAGTTCCCCCTAAATAATGCCATAATGTTGTAACACACAATACTGTTATTTTACTAATTACAGTAATGAATCTCTTTAGAGATTCATGATCCATATATATTCTATATGAGTCCACCTTCTTTCACATACCTTAAAACTTCCAGGCTTTTATTTGCTACTGAACTCAGCCTGCCTATATTTGGGACCAGTCTCTATATGGGACAAACCTTTAATTCCTTTTGCACAAAACTCTCACTCAGCAAAGATGGTTAATACTATCTATATAAATTGTTTATTTAAAACTGTATGAATATGACGTTTAAAAATTAGGCTATTGAATAACATATCAATTACAAATCAATTACAAGTCATTCATTTGATACGTTGGTGCTCTTTGTTTCTGTAAAATGAACTGAAGGGTTGAATTGTGGAGAATCTAACTGATCTAATAACGTGTAACATGTACATATTGTCAAAAGTTTGAACATTCATATTTGTGTAGGCGATCTAAGCAGCTTAGAACTTGGAGACCTGCGTTTATTTGTCAAAACGTGCAGCCACACCAGGCTAGTAAAAGGGGCCTGCCTCTAATTGGGACCCTGCTTTTAATTGAAGGTTTATGGTTTTACATTGTTGTGTTCTGTATTTTTCAGGACAAAAGCACTGGACTGTAGGTTACCATAAGTTCTCAAATAGATGCTTTAGTGGTCTTATCTGGGACGTTCTCCAATTAAAGGGAAATGTTGCCATTTTTAAACCGGCTTTGTATCATTATAGTGTGGGTAGTGTGTGCCTCTATGTTGCCTTTACCCAGAGCTCCACACGCATTGTATGACTCTAGGGCTATTTCTTTTAACTTCACATTCTACTTTCGCATTTTTTGTATACCTGCCTCCATGTATTTTTGCTGGCAATTGGCCGGAGAGCTCTAGGTGCAGGAAACATGGAGGGAAGTAAAACAAATGTCATTTGCATATACTACCCACATTGTGCTTCAATGAAAACTCAAAACTTCCTCCATATTTCCCTGTTGTCTCGATGAATTCATTATAATGTCCATTTCATCAGTACAGTGAGTCAAACATGAGTCTTTTTTTCCATAACAATGTTGAGCTACCATGAATGAAAATCAATATTCCCTCCAGAATCTTGCAGCGTCTTTATAGGTTACCTTGTAAAGTAAACAAACCCATTACAAAGTTTTGCGTTTTGTTGATGCTAGCGCAACACTGATTAGAAGTTCAGCAACTGGAATAAATAACAGAAACATTGTGTCTGTTAAAAGAGAAAAACTCAGAGCATCTGACTGGTGAGTCTGACTCTGTTGTTCTGATGGAATTAGTGGTGTGGAAATATACATTATGTAAATTTACCATGTTAACTGTTGTAGTATAGGCTAGAGGTAATTTCAATCCCCTTGATGTTTTCCCCCGGCCTGTATTAGCAACGAGAAAGACCTAAAGCGTAAAAATGCACTTTTTTACAGCAGAATGGCCCCCAGGCACACCCTGGATTTGATTTCCCTGGAGTAGTTAGAAACAGCTAGGTAGACCTGCACTGCTTACAATTTTGACAGTACTGCTCCAATCTGTATAGGAAGCAATAAAATGCAATGGTGGAGATAGGCCAACACAACCTTTTTGACTTGGTGCACAACAAAAATGATCATTGCCTATGCCTTTATTCGAACAAATTAGGAATCTTTTTGATGTAACATTTACTCACTTTGAAATGGATGCTTAAGGCACTGACAGTAAAACCATTCTTTCATCTCACACAAATTTCTTCTTTACTCTCCTCTACAGGTGACAGCTAAGGGTTTTGCTCCACTGCTCCAGTTTGCCTACACAGCCAAGCTGGTTTTAAGTCGGGAAAACATCCATGAGGTCATCCTGTGCGCTGACTTCCTGGGTGTTCACAATTTGGAGGACTCTTGCTTCCGGTTCCTTCAAGCCCAGCTACAGAATGATGACCAACATGCCAGTAATAGCAAGGTGGAATATGATGACGACATCACGGCCGAGGACACAGTCTTTTCGGAGGCAATATCCTTGGATCATTCTACAGAGATGAGGCAGCAGACCAATCATGTAGCAAGCACTGCGTCACTTCCCGCTGACCTTTCTCAATGTCCCAAGTACAGGAAATATCAGTACCAGATCTGTGACAGCAAGCACAATGGAGAAAACTATCATGGCAGTGATGATGTCATTTTGGCCAACCATACCTCAGTCAGCCCTGTGAGCTCACAGCTCACAGACAGCAGTGCTGCTCAACAAACTCTCCTTACACCCTCCAGGATCAAAGAGGAACAATTTGTGTTCGAGGAAGAAGGAGACGAAAGGAGCGGTTGCAACCCAGAATTATGTACTGAGGAGGTACTGGAGATGGAGCTGGAGGTAGAAGGGGTTCCAGTAGCAGCCGAGCACTCTCCGAGCAGAGGTTCACCCTCTTCCTGCCTGCGCTCCTACCTCCAGAGAGGTGGCCTGGATCTCAGTGGTGTGCCCAGCACCACCATCCAGCAGCTACTCACCAACAGACTGTCCCTCAACCACTACAGGGAACTGGTCAAAGACAGGCAGAGGGATAAGAGGGAATCTCTGGGTCAAGTGGACCTCAAGACCGGCATTACAGATGTGATACCAGCAGCGCTGACTGGCATTGGCAAGAACATGGAAAGGCCAGTGTCCAACGCCTCATCCTCTAAACATGAAGGGGAGCTAGACAGATGCAGTGTCATTTTCTCTTCAGCAGCTGGTGAGCGACAAATGTTGGCACATTCTTACATGGATGACAAGTTCAGAGAAAAAGTCTCAACTCTGATGCAGGTAGAAGCTCCTTCTTCCGGCCGGTCATGCCTCACCACCAGCTGCCCTATTCCCATCAAGACATCAGCCCACTCCCCTCCTCCTTCTGAGCCCCGAACCCAGACTTCCAGCTCCCGGTCCTCATTCTCTTACCCAGAGGACACAGGCAGTGGTAGCTCACCTTCCAGCCTTCCCCACTTTGACTTCTCCTCATCCCCGCACTCAGGCTCCACCTCTGGACTGTCTCACTGCTTGGCTGGGGTAATGGAGCAGAGGAACCCCCACAGCGGAGAGGTGGTCTTCTCTCAGGGTTGCACCAAGATCAAAAATGAACGTGGATTCGGTGCCAGTGGTGGCAACTCCAGCGACGAATCAGGCTCTTTCTCAGAGGGAGACAGTGAAAGTGGCCTCTCCAGAGTCTCTGGCCCTGAGGTTAGTGTGGTCCTTTATTACACTTTCTTGCTTTGGTTTCTCCTTTGTGTTAGCATCAAGGTACATTCATCTACTCCTGACACAAACTTAGCCTGCACTCTAACACTTGACCAGCATTCTCACGAGTTAGTTTCTTGAAAACATTGTCATAAGCAATCTTACTGAGAGTGTGGGGAATGGTATCACAAGCAGAAGGCAACAAACATGTCTTCTGGGCATTGTGTGTTTACTTATTGTTTTACTTTGGTGATACAACCATTATAATGTAATGTAACAGTAGCACAAGTGGAAAAGAGTCATGAGACCAATAATATAAGTTAATCCGCTAGTATGTAGTCAGTAGAGTTTTCATGATGTGTTGTCTTGTTTGACTCAGAATGACCCGTCAACATGGTTCCACTGACATTATCCCTGCCTGAGACGCTCTGTCCATTCATATGCACATATTTGTGATGTGTTAATAACCTTTGGACACAGGCAAATTTAAATCACATAAAATTCTGTACTTAAAAAAAAAGCTTACTATTCTAAATATTACTATTCGGTGTAAAGTACAACTCATATATCACTTCTGACGACATTTCTGAGCAGCTCAGCTTTATTTATGGCATGTACTGTTGTCGACATAAGCCTGTCATTAAGTACATTCAAATCCAAGCAAAATGGGTTCAAAAAAGCTTTTTTAGGATTTATTCTCCCATTTTCACACTTTGATGTACTGCTTAAATTCACCAGTATATTATATTACCAAAGTATCGGCCATTCCTGTGTTAGTAGCATATCAATGATTTTTAAGCCTATTGTAAGTGTGATTTACAGCTGGGACTATTCTTAGACAGTTTTTCTCTCATGAGAAATGACGCAAACACTTCCAACACATACTCCTCGGGTTTAGAAGAGCTGTATGGTTGCCATGGTGATGCATAAGCACATGCAGTATCTGATGAGATGTAATATGAGTTTCTTTCTGTTTTTTTCTCTCTCTCTCTCTCTCTCTCTCTCTCTCTCTCTCACTCACACACACACACACACACACACACACACACACACACATATAGCATATAGCTTTATTAGATTTGAGTAGTTGTGGCCTCTGGTCTGTGGATGAGTCAGTGAAGATGTGTTGCAGATGTTAAGGTGCTCAGCTATTCTGAATAGACATACTAGAGCAGATACTTGGAGAGCATTGTACAGGGGTCAAAACTACAGACCTACTCGCTTTATTTCTCTACCAGCAAATATAAATGTGTGTGTAGTCCACTGTGTAGAGCTATATTTTATCTCACTATAAGCCATTTCTGCTGCTCTGATCTTACAAATGTTCCATCTGCTGCTTATATTCGTATTGGCATGTAAATTATTTGTGTGTTTATTACTCTGACTGAAGTCGCCCTGCTTTTTAAGCGACCAGTCTGCCTCCTTGTTATGTAATGTCTTGACTAACTTGAGTTTATTACCACAAGGCAAGGACACTGTATGTCAACTTACAAAACAATAAAGAAGTGTGAAAACCTGTCCTCTGTTCTCATAATCACCAGGATGGCCGAGTGGTTAAAGCATTGGACTTAAAATCCAATGGGCTAATGCCATGTCAAACCCCACTCCTGGTAGGTTAATAGGTAGTTTAGTTTATGAACAAATACAACTAATGACATTCCCATGAACCTCAGCTATATTTTGTGTTTAATGCTAATTAGCATCTTAACACACTAAAATAAGATTGTGAACATGTCAAATATAAGATCAGATGTATTGTTATTATGTGTATTTCCACTGTGAGGAAGCAAAATCAGGCTGTAGGGGAGAGTGGCTAACATCATTTCAACAGCAAGTCTGGCTTATCTAACAGGAGTGGGGTTTGAGCCCACCCCAGAATGCTCTGTGATTCCCACCCCCTATATTTGAACAAGAGCACATAAAGCACTTGAACAAAAGCACTTGAATGTGACCTGAAAATATAGCCGTGAAATATTAAAACAAAATCACTGCTAAAACATGCAGTTGCATTGTAACTGGGAATTTTTTTTTTTTTGGTACAGTACAATTTAGTTTTAATACTGCATTTAGTTTTGTTTCAATTTAGCACGGGCATGTGTGCATAGCTGCCTTGTATATGTATATGTGCGTGTGTGTGTGTGTGTGTGTGTGTGTGTGTGTGTGTGTTGTCTGTCCCACTTTGCCCTGACCCAGTTGTCTCACCCATAGAGCGGACACACACACCCTAGGATGCCCTGTAGGCAGGTGGAAGGTGTCCTGTCCACGTTCCCTCCACCATCTGCTACTCCTGACCTCAGATCTGCCCTCTCCAATTAGGCCAGCCCACCAACAACCCCACCCCACCCCACACTGCCACCACCACCACACTTTGCATTCTGCCGTTTTGCTTTTTTCCACCTTATTCAAGTAGTTATACGATTTGTTTTTTAAGTTTGCAATTCATGAATATTTTATTCTTATCTGGTATTCTGCTGATTAAGTCACAATTAATTGAGTAATCGGATAGAAAATGTACATTTTATATTTGCTAAAACCTTTTCTATATCCTGACAGTAGAACTTGAGACAGATAATCTGTGAAACAATCAGGTTCCTCTGGCTCCTCCTAGTGCTCCTAATGGTATTTGCAGGAATCAAAGAATAAAAACAACCAATCAGAGGCAAGAAAGATATAAAGAATAGAATAATAATAAAATGGTCCCAAAGCGTCTGTATTTGACGTCCTGGGAATGACACGCAACTATGACAAAAAATATTACGAAGCAGCAAAATACAAATCAGTTCAGTTTCAGTGTCATATGCCAGTAAGTATTGCCATTGTCACTTTTACTGGCATTATGCTATGCTACTGTTACTGTAAGACCTCATATGAACAGTTTCAATACTCATGGCCACACTGCCTGCAGTTGTTCATATCCCTGTATCCAGTACATGTACATAACCGAATCCAGGTCTGATGGTGTCTTGATTTCTCACCATCTCAGCCACAATGTTGAGAAACCTGGTGGTGTTTACATGCCACAGTATCCTAGTTTCTATCAGAGTTCTCCAGGTAGCAAATCCAGGTTTCTCAAAACTGGGATAAAGTCTTATTCAGGTTTCTGAAACCAGATAACTGGAATATTCCAGATGATAGCCAGGATACTAGTGCGTAAAAACACTCATAGACCACGTTTACATGCACATTATTACCCTGGTTTTGAGCCATTAACATGAGAACAAGAAACCTGGGTAACTTGAATCCAGGTTTCTTATCATGTGTGCACTTTTGTCTTGATTTCCTAGTTACTCATTTCTCTAACAAATGTACAACAAAACAGTGTATTTACACACCACGGTAACCTGGTTTATCCAGATAGCATACCCAGGTTTCTCAAGGCTGTATCCAGGTTTCTGAAAGCAGGATAAGATGTTTACAACACATAACTGGGATACTCCAAAGACCTGATCTTAACCAGGATTGTCATGCGCATGTAATCGCACTAGACTGATCACAGACTCAAGTGCAGTTCCATCATCAATCACCAATTCTCCTCTGTAGGGTTGGGTGTAGTGTAGGATCAGGAGTCATTGTAGTGAATTGTGTCAGCAGTTATTTTAGATTTAGTACTCAAGTAATTATTCTTTTGAGATTCTGACTATATCAATGTTGATACGAAAGCTTTAAACTTGTTAATTTTTTCAAACACCAGTAAGTGATGGAAAGAGCGTCTCAAAGGGTACACACAGTGTTAAAAATGGAAACCAGAACACCAGAGAGAGAGAGATTGGTGAGGGGATTTATGACCATCTAAGGCTCACTTTGTCATTTCAACCTTATTATGTGACTGCTGAGAGTCATGGAGCTATATATAGATGTCTATAGAGTAAAGGACAGGCAGCACCTAAACACAGACACACACACACACACACACACACACACCCCTCTCGCCTCTCTCTTCCCTTTCCTGTGTTGTCAGAGCAGTGAATGATGTCATCGTTGTATACTGGCAGCACTGTGCTGAACACTGCTGCTATAAAGAAAACAACATGGGCTGCTCTGGTGTACACTACTGCAATGGAACATAGAGTAAACATATGTACACATCATCGATAGAGGGATAAAGGACATTTGACATTGATAAGAGAGTAAAGAAATGTTCTTACTAATTCATTAACTAGAGTGAACATGAATAGATACATACAAAATGATTTAAAATATAAATATATTCTTACATAGGAAATTGCATAAAAATACAAAGAATAAAAAAACCCATTAAACAAACAAACTAAATCAAATGGATTCCTATCAGCAAAGAAAGAAATAATAAGTAAGTTGAAATTTTGCTCAATTAGGACCAAAATTAGCTACTGACTGTGAAACAAAGAGCTCATCCTGTGTTCTCTTTGTGCCGGAGGTGCTGGGATCAATGAGCAGCTTAACACTGGCACCTGGTGGAATTTATACCACATTGCTCTCCATCGGACAACTTGGAACTAATGTTAAATGCTACTCATATTTTACTGAATGCCAGTTGTGTCAGACTCACATTCTTTACCTCACAAAAAGTAGCAATTAAAAATGATTCCATTACAAGTAAGCTTACTCCAGTGAACATACTTTCAGCAAAATGTACTTAAACTATTGAAAAGTAAAAAGTAGTCATTGTGCAGCAGAATGACCCCTGTCTTTGTTGTATTGCTGTGTATTATATTATTGCATTATTATAACTGCTGCATGAATGTGTGAGCAACATTTTAATGTTGATACAAGAGCGTTTGGTTCCAGAAATTAATACATACATTGGATAATGTAAAAATGCTACTTATATTCATTATCTGTATTTATAGTTTATACAGTTATACCAGTCTACCACAATTTGACTATATCATCATTCGTAATGATATGAATTTTTCATATTCGACCATACTGTTGCATAGCTGGAACAACTGCTATAACTCATTTGTATCTTACTTGTGCAACAGAACATTTGAGAAGTATCTACTTTGAGGATTTTAGGTGAGTTTACAGTGTTTTTACAGCTATTTGAAAATATTTTATTTTGAAAATTTTGTCTTTTTTATTTTTAAGTTCCGTTTTTACTACATTTTACGCAAATAACTGGTTTACATTCAGATTCCTTCAGATATTACATCATTTTGTGGAGCAAAGAAAACCCTACAGAAATCAAAGCCTTTAGGATGTACATGATACATTAGAATATTTTTATTTTGTATGCACTCCTGACAGTAGAGTAAGCCACTAAAAAACCCATAAAAAGTTATGTAGTTATGTAATTAGTAAATAAAATACCGTAATATACCGTGAACAGAATAAAAAATAAACAAATACAGTGATACAAATTCATACTGCCCAGCACTATCATTTATTGGGCTTTAAATATTTGGTTGTTTAATTAAATAAGTGCTTCTTAGAAATAACTTGTAGACATTAAACATTTTTTGATCCAATAACCTGCTTAATATTCATTAAAATTAGGTACATAATGATGTATCTTGCATCTTTATAACAAAGAGCACTGCCCTTTGACACATTTTCAACTATGAGTCAAGACAGAGATTAAAATATTTATTTATCAAAAAGATGTGTAGAGGTAGTGGCAGTACTTCTTCAGCCCAGAGTCTTTAGCTGTTTGTCTGCATATGGAGTAACAAGCATACCAGTCACAGGGTCTGTATGTGCGAGTAGTCAAATACTGCCACAGTTCCCATTAAGACTGCAAGCATATGGAAGATTATCAGAGCTCATTGGGACAAACTTGTACATGTAGACATATCATGCCTTGTGCAAATACATGGCTCAGTGGAGCTTTGTTTTGTTGATTTCATTTCATCTTCACATTATTAATGAAGTAGGATCAAACATACGTTATAACAGTCAGATGAATGAAAAACAAACACACATTTAGGAGCTAAAGGACTAATGGAATTGAATTAAATGATCTACAACAATGGAGTTTACTGTAAATTAAAGAAATAATGTCATATAATAATAGTCTATTCTACAACAGTCTAATCACTCTCAGCAAGAACAATAGATATCAAGTGATTCAAGTGGTTCTACCATAGTTAAGTAATGTTTTGACATAAATAATAATATTCAGCCTGAATCTAACAGTTCATAAACTTCTTCATGTCTTTTGATTACTGTTGGTTATTCAACCAGCCTAAAGGTGCATTCACACCTACAACTGGACTGGTGTTGAGCAGCTGATGGAATTGTGGGGTACTTTCAGCCACAGTATTAGGAGAAGATTTTTTTTATTAACTCTCTCTTTCTCTCATCTGCATTTTGGCTGCCGGACAGTCAGAGTCACTGTTAGAGATAGCTGATCAAACCAACTGAAACTATTGGTCCTTGTGGTTCTTTTTAGGTAAAGCTGCCCTTCCCCGTGGACCACATCACCAACCTGCCACGCAACGACTTCCAGATCCTCATCAAAATGCACAAGCTGACCTCAGAGCAGCTGGAGTTCATCCATGACATCCGCCGCCGCAGCAAAAACCGCATCGCCGCCCAACGCTGTCGCAAGAGGAAGCTGGACTGCATCCAGAATCTGGAAGGCGAGATCCGCAAACTGGTATGATCGCACAACAAACCTTAGACACACACACTTACACAGCAACCTGCAGGGTCTCAAAGGTACTAGAAACAGATAAAATATCCAAATAATGTAACAGGTCTTAATCTTAAACTAATCAGGTTGGTGTATGACTAATAGAGTGCTACACTACTGGAGAACTGCTCCTCAAAATAAAATACCTTTATTGACATGGCATGACTCCAACAGCATCATCAAAAAGGTTTCGACCTAAAAACAAAACTCAGATGTGTTTCGGGATCAAGCCTCCGTTAGGGAGTCCAAAACACAGAGTAAGTTTTTAGGTTTAACTGGATCGTGCAGTAAGAATAAAGACATTTTAATTGTTGAAAATAATAATTAGTATAAAATAATAATAGTTTTCTTGTGATTTTTGTGAAACAGCTGATGTCTTGGTATACCTATTTATATACGAGTATTTCTGTCATGCTGACCTGATGACGCTGTGTCTTATGAACTCTTGAAGGTGTGCGAGAAGGAGAAGCTGCTGAGCGAGCGCAACCAGCTGAAGGTCTGTATGTCTGAGCTGTGGCAGAACCTCTCCTTTCTCTCCCAGCAAGTGTGCAGGGAGGTACAGGGCACCCAGCCGCCTCCCGTCTCCGCCAGCATCGACCTCACGTCCAACCCACCGTCGCCTTCCTCTGACGAGGGTTCGTTCCAGCCCAGGTTGCCTGTGTCGCAACAGAGTGACGCCGCGTGTCTGTCTGACGTGGGTCCCAGTCAGAGGGGACTGGAGGATAGGCAGCCTGGGGTGGAGGTGTCAGGTCTGGGACAGGAGAACCCAGAGTGTCCACTGGTGCTTGGATCCACTGAGGAAGTATGTAGCCCCACTGTAACAGTGGATTTCTGTCAGGAAATGACTGAGAAATGCACAACAGAGGAACAGGAGAGACAGAAGTATACATAGAGTCTGGAGGGTCGGTGACACACTCATACTTGTCTATACCTTGATATTTGAAGTATTTTCTTCTTTTTTGTAATAGATGACACAAGTTGTCTTATCAGCAATACTGTTCAACAGGTATTTTTGGACTGGTGGTAAAACAAAAACACTGGCAGCTTTCTCTCTCTCTTTCTCTCTTCTTTCTGTCTCATCCTGACCTTTTCTTCCTGTCAGCTTCCCTCCCTCTCTTGTGCATCATGGGAGGTTAAACTCAGGAATTCCTCAGAATGTTCACTAATGTCCCTGTTAACATGTACATACACTTTACTTTACAGTCCTGTCAAATCTTGACAATTACTTAAATACATACAACTGATTTGTGGTCAATTATTCATACTGGACCTCTAATTTTAAGCATCTGTCACTTGTGGTTCACCAAAGCAATAGCTCAACAGAGTGAGAGTGAGATGTTCAGTTTGTTATCAATGTCATGTCTGTTAAGTACAGAGCTGGAGTCAGGACGTGGTTAGCCTAGCTTAGCATAAAGATTTGAGGCAGCGTGCTGTGTTCAAAAGGAAAACACATGCTTATTATATCTATAACAAGTCTATGGCGGACCTATAAATGAAATAATGTGTTTTTAGAGCATAGACTGTATATAAAGATGGACGAGGGAGTAAGTGAGGAAGCAAAGCCAAAATATTCCGAATATGGTCACTGCCATCTTACGCTGGTGTCATAATTTGGAGCCAGAGACTGTGCAGCAGTAAACAGGGTTGGAGCCGTGGTTTTCATAGCATCAAATAACTTATTACACCCAAAATGATCCGAAAAATGAACACTTGAACATACATCAGCGTCATAAGAACTAGCTCAAATGAGATGAAACCATCTTTCCCACCTGCTAACATAGGTTTATGACCTATACTGCAACCAGACACCAGGGAGCGATGGAGATGTTTTGGCTTCACTTTTGGGGAGTTGCCATGGCGTCCATCTTTATATAGACTTAATGTTTTAGAGTGCTGAAACGATTTCTCTAAAAATATTGTTTTTTTTGTTTTTTACAAACCTGGCAGCCACACTGTGACAGTAATGCTGCATTTAGGCAAAGTCAGCAGAATTGGAAGAATAGAAAAAAACTGTTCAGCCATTATTCCAAGATGTATAGTCACTTTTTAACTTGCTTAAATTAGCTACTTTTGTTGTGTTCTATGTGTGTAGTTGTTAAGTTAGCTACATTAATTATATTCGTTTTAATATTTTTTTTAATATTAGATGTAACATCCAGCAATGGTGGCTTTGCTGTCATTTTGCAACCTATATCATACATATACCATCACAGTACATTGCTGTTTGTGTTCAGGTTAAACTAAGGAGATACTTGTTAATTAGTGCACTCTAGAGTAGGCTGCTTCCACTCTTTATGCTAAGCTAGGCTAGCAACGTCCCAACTCCAGCTCTGTATTTAAGACATCGATATCCATCGTCTAACTTCACTCTAAGAAGGAAAACAAATAAGTAAATCTTTTAAATTACTCACTCTATGCTACAACATCAAACAGCTTACCTTTTGTCACAAGACTGAGCATTTTAGTGGTCCCATAATTGTTGAGTGACACAGGACTTTAAAGTGAAATGTTACCAAAGGTGTGTATTTTTTCCAAATGTTACATTAGATGAAATGGTCAAATGAACTCACGTTATGCAAAGTTGCGTTATCAAGCTTCACGTTTACTTTTTGTTGTACTCAGATGGACGTTTCTACACATTTCTCCCTTGTTTCAAATCTGTGCTAGGAGACAGAGCTACATTACAAAGTCCAAGCACTGCCCAGCTCCTCCAGGAAATGACGCCTGGCATTGAATATAGGTGAACGCATTGTGACGTTGGCACTTAAAACAAGCCCCCAAGCCATCACTTGGTGTTCAGATAGATTAAAGGACCGTACCAGTGTCGATTTATATTTCTGCCAACAATTTTCCAAAGAATGCTGTAGTGTTTCTCAGTTGATTTCATTCACATCTGCTCTGTGTGAAAATCAACAGAATATGCAGAATAGTTAAAGTTGCTTGAGTTTGGTATATCATTACATAATTTCAGATTTTGTTGCTGTCAAAATTACACAGATAGTAGTCAAACTGGGTGATGCTTTATTTTATAGGTTCCTAGAGTCACAATGATTTCCTAACTAAAAACTGTAAGGTTCCTGGAATAATAATTGTAGGGAAAATGGAAATAGAGCCTAATTGGTACACTTTCTTTTGAAGGTCCAGTGTGTAACATTGAGGAGGATCTATTGTCAGAAATGGAATATAATATTCATCGGTATGTTTTCATTAGTGTATAACCACCTGAATATAAGAATCATTGTGGTTTTGTTGCCCTAGAGTGAGACCTTTTCTCTACAGAAGGAATGGGTCCTTTTTTCAGGTTGAACCGCCATGTTTCTACAGTAACCTAGAATGGACAAACCAAGCACTCTAGATACAGCCTTTCACAGTTTTGTGGCCACTGTAATGGAAGGTGAGCTGTTTTCAGTTGGTTGCAATCTGCAACATCACCACTAGATGCCACTACTAAATTACATGAAAATTCCTCAGAAATTATATTTTTATTTCATATTCATTTTATATGAATGATATAGGAATTACAGCGCCTCTTAAATAAAGTGTCACCAGAAATTCGTATGGATATATTCTAAAAAATTCTAAAATGAATGAAATTAAATAACATGATGGATTTCACGTCTCAAGAAACTCTCCTAGTTGATGTATTCATATATTATACTCTATATAAATAATGGAAATCAATAGCTGTCTGCAGTGTCCAGAAAACACAGTCAAAAATCTAAAACACTATATTATACTTTGGAAAATGGATGGTTGTAATCTAAAGTGACTCCTGTTTAATGGGCTAAAGACTATGGTGTGGCCACTTAAACAACAGCTTAAACAAATCATAAGTGCTCTTTTTGACCCATTTATTTATTGTCTTATAAGTAGTAAGAATTTAGTGTTTGTGGTAATAATGTATTTAGCTGCACTGTTCTTGTAATTGTACATAAGACGAATATCCCTACTAAATGTATGTTGGTGTAAGACACCTACATTTTCAAATTAACACATCATAGTTGAATTTGTGCAAACACTAAGCAGAATGATCAATTTCTACTTACAAATCAGTATACCTAATAGCGCATGGTATGAAGTTCAAAGCTCCAAACAAACACACTGGCCCATTATTGATTTAGGGAGATGCTAAATTCATCTGCTGTTGAAAAGTCAATGGTGAGGCACGTGGCAGGGCTGAGTGCTGCTTTACAGTGCAGCATGTCCACGGCATTACGTTCAGCACAGCAAGGTCAAACTAGAGTTTGAAACTGCAATTGGCAATTTTTCATTGCACTTGATTTCTCAGAAATGTATTAGCTCTTAAAATAAAGGGATTCTATTTCCCTGTGCGGTTTTGTGAATGTAAAACTGTTAGCTTGAAAGAAATTCAAATATTAGATTTCTAATTGGCTCAAGTTATTTCCAAGTTGTGAGACAATACAGCTTGGTCAGTGGCCCTGTGCTTCAAAATATGACGCTGTAGGTATCCCTCTAGTGTCATTTCCGGATGCACTTGCCGTCAAAGACAGGTGGCGTAGTATGAAGAATCGGAAAGTCCACATATAGAGGTGGTGGGGTGGGTGGATGGATGGCTGAACAAGCACAGGACTTTAACTCGGGACACAGCTGATAGAGTCTTGTGTGAAACCAAAAGTCAACAATTTCTTTTAAGTAAAATAAGTTACGTTTTGTTCATGTAACTAAGTTACGCCTGGTATGTTATTTAAGTTACATTATTTATTCATGTACGCAAGTTACATTAGGTATGTTACATAAGTTGTGCTTGTTCACGTATGTAACTTATGTCAGGTATGTTAAGTAAGTTACATTTTGTTCATGTACTTAGCTACATCAGCTACTTGACTAAACATTCACATTTTTCTAAGTAGTTTTTATGCCTAAACTTAACCAAACTGTGCCCGTTTCACAACATTAACCACACAAGCTTTATTTTGAAAATGTAACCAGATGTTACATATTTATTGTTGCTAACTTGACCACAGACCCTGCACGCCCAGAAATGACCTTAGAGGGATACCTACACTGTCATATTTTGAACGATTTAACGAGTTGAGAGTGAGAACATGTTGATTGAAGGCAAAGAGAACTACCCATGATATCACAATAGGACCTGTTAGCCAATGATAATCTCATTAGAATGTACTGAATGCTCAGAGTACACCGAAGAACACTACTCAGCTGTTTTTTACTTCCTTAATGTGAACTTGTTCATTTATTTATTTGAACTCTTGTTGTTGGGGGTTGGGGTCGGGTGTAGAGGAAATTGCATAGATGTAAAATGTAGGTCACTACCCTTTCTTAGAATTTGTTAATGGTTGTATTTTTTTAATTGTTGATAAGTTCATGAAAAATAGGTTTTCATTTAACACATGTACTTAAGTTGTAATATTTGAACTTAAAGGGGTGTGATTATGTTTACAAGTTTTGTGTATTACCTGTTCTGTTCTTTTTGTTTTGTAAAGATATAATTAAGACCTGGGAATTAAGTTGAATAGTTCTATTTTATTTACATAAGTTAAAAGTGTTGATGAATTTTGAGAAAAAAATAAGCATCTGACAAGTGCAGCTACAATGTTATGCCTTAGAGGTTACAGAGGCCAAACTATCCAGTGAGGGAACAATGGATTTTATTCAGAGGAAACTACACAGCAGTTTTAAGAAACTGTTTTGCAACAGCGTCATAAAAATATTGATGCGACCCATTCTGACCCTTGCTGGGGTTTTTTTTGTGATGAAGCCTTGAGAGGCAAAGACAATGAGTGTACATTTATTTAAGCATTTATTTTAAGCTCCCTTTTGTGATAGATAGTGAAATCCAGCCATGTACATTTTCCCCTCTGAAAATATGGAGGCCCAAAGTGTCAAATAAGTAATATAATCAATAAATACAGACACAATGTGTAATATAACCATGAAATAATTACACAGATTTTGAAATAAAAACAGCTGGAATTATTAAATTAATTGAAAAAAATGTACCTGTAATAAATTGAAATATGAAAAGAAATAACACTTCATCATCTTAGTTTAAAAAGTGATATGATTATTTTAGAAATTCATGGCTACATTATATATTTTGTGTGTATTTTTTAATATGATTATTTGTTACATAACATTTATATATTTATTTAATATTGACGACTGTGGGTCTCCATATAGAAAAGCCAAATGCTCTTGTAAGTGTCACCAATAATAATATAGGTCCAAAAGTTTAAAAGATAAAAATGAACTTGGAAGTTACACTTAAGTAAACTTCAAAACGAGGCATCAAATCATTTTTAGCGTTAAATAATCCATTCTACACAAAACACAGATGAATTAAAGCTATGAAATTATTCTGTGCCTCATTTTGGCTTTAAGTTTACCCCTCTTCTTCCTCTCCTCACGCTAAAATGCAAATTAAATCATCTGTTAGTTTAACTGAAGGCTGCACTTGTTGCAACAATTGGATCTTTCAAGTTGTTTGCTCTGCATTTTGGTCCAACTCTGAGGACTCAGGGTACAAAATGGACACTGCACAATAGTTCTCAATTATGGAAGTTGAATTCTGAAGAATAGTCACTTGTCATAATTTTATGGAAAAAGTTATGAACAAATCAGAAGTCTGACATTAATATTGAAATTATGTCTTATTTCTCACATTTCTCACATTACTCTCAGACCTCAATGGCCCTAATCATCTTCCATATACAGCAAATGCCATCACTGTCTTGTAGTATTTGTTGACTAGTTAGCATGGAGCATCTGTAACCCCAGTGCAATTTTGAAATTCAAAATGGTGAATTTAAAGGAAGTTTCTTTTTTTCTTGTATTAGCCCATTGACTGCAAAATCCATATACTTTTTATTACTGCCAACCAGTCTTTAAAGCAGCTCTAGATGATGTTCTGCTGTGGTTTCATTTTGTTTCAGTATGGTACAAAAGTTTACTCATGGAGACTTGAAACTTGTCTGAGTTAGGTAATACATCACATGCTTTTAATGTTGCCAGAGTTACATTATTGTTGTGTCGTAATGCAATGCAGCATTTTCAGACCAATCTACACTTACAACTGCATCACCATGCTACAAAAAAACAAGAGTAAAAGCTGACATGATGTTCACTGTGATACATTATCTAACGCAAGCAAGTTTCAATTCTCTGCACAGTGTTCCCCACCTTTTCCTTTAGGGAGCCATTTTCTCCCAGCGAGTAAACTAACTGACATATTTTATGGATATTTCATATTATATTCAATGCAAAACAGTATAGAACAACTGATAAACTGTACAGTGAACACAAGAACTGCAGGAAGTTTGTGAAAAACCAGAGACTTTAATTTTGAGCAGCTTATTTCCGGTGAATATTGATCAGAGATGACTTTTCCTTACATTTTAGGAACTTTTTACAAAATTCTCTGTCTGTATTATGTATTTTTTTTTTAACAATCATACATTCTTAGCTCTGTAGCTCTTTGGTTGTTTGAACTTTTCTAAAGCAGGACGAGGCTGTTTATCAGAGACTGAAGGCTCTGTGAATATAGCTTGTGTTCAGGTCTTGCCCGTTGTGCCCTTATCCTGTTAAGATCTTAAATAATAATCTATAAATAAAGTTAGGTTTCCTCACAGAAATGCACAGAATCCTCAGATGCAGGCCTACTGTATATTTTTAAAGTTTTCTTACACCCCTTAAAAGCAAGAAGGCTTCATGACCCCCTGTGAAGTTTTGGCGATCCTGCCAGGTTGGGAACCACTGGATTATCAAACTGTACTAAAAGAAATGAAAAACAGCAGTAATGTAAGTGCTGCAAAAAACGCTGGTATAATTCAGTTATGAAAATGATGTAATTTATGTCATATGTTCAGTTGTTCTTTGCCATGTAGCGTGGATAACCAAGAGTCTGCATGTTTTCAAATCAGGCGTGTTAGCAGAAGATTGGGGGGAAACCTGCAGACTCTTGGGGCCACAGTGATTGAGAACCACTGGTTTACACAGTATGCTGTCATATTAACATGACTTCTCATGTTAACAAACTTCTGAATAGTCAATTGAATAACTCTAACAGGAAGGATGTTTGACTTTCCAATGTCTGTGCTAATAGGCACAACAATTTATTAAATTAACAACTTAACAAGTTATTGTTTAAAGCTGCAGTTGGTAACTTTTATAAAAATAACTTTTTGTCATATTCACTTTCACCATATCCTGACAGTAGTACATGAGACAGATCATTTGTAAACAATCAGGTTCCTCTGGCTCCTCTTAGTGCTCCTAATGGCATTTGCAAAAATCTACCGGGTCTGAACAAAAACAACCAATCAGAGCCAAGAAAGATAGTTGATTGTTGAGTGTCATTCCATCGAATACCGATGCTGGGAATGAGATTCAACAATCAACTTTCTTCAAGCAACCAACAAATGTAAATGACATTAGGAGCACTAGGAGGAGCCAGAGGAACCAGATTTTTTTTTTACAGATTCTCTGTCTCATGTTCTACTGTCAGGATATAGTTTCAGCCAATATGACAATATTTATAAAACTTACCTACTGCAGCTTTATACCAGTGTGCAGTGGTTATCAGGGAAGAGTTTCCCCTTATGGAAGTTAGTATTTTGGAATCAAATGCCTTCAATTTGCAATTACACAACATGGTGGCAGACTGAAGGAAGTACTTATTTAATCCGATCTGTTTACAGAACACGGTAATCGGGGCCACTTGAATCTCAGATTCTGACTTTTTGAAGTTTAGTTGAACGGACTTTAAGCACTTATCTACCTGGACGATTCAGCATACCTCTTCTAATGGGTAAGGACTGTATGATAGACATGTAGAGTTTCTGTGGCATTGTTTCTAACTTTTTACAGTGGTTACTTCATTGTATTTGTAGATTTTGGTGAGCCATTTTTTACGTGTCCGTTTTTGAGCAACCTGCAACATGACTGTTACATGCAGATTCAGCATTTTTTCATTCATTTTTTATCTCTGAATGTTCGAATGGCCTGTGTTTAGATTTTTTTTGTAAATATTGTGCAACATGTCATGTTTTGATTATTTGATATGAAAAAGGTTTTAAATGACAAAAAAATGCATTTTGCCTAGGCTATCTTTCTTGAGAAATAAAAGAAAAAGCATGAGAACTGGACTGTGTGGTGTTTTGTGGATTCTAAATTAAATATCTGTCGACAAAATGATTGCTGTTTTGTTAAGAAGCATTTAATCTGAATATAATATAAAGTATCATCATTTATCATCAAATGACTGTATATAAATGACTATACACAGATACACACATTCTAACCAAGTCTTTGACTTAGAAATGTATTTTAAGCTTATAAAGTCCAGAAGCAAAGGCATCCTCTGAGGAGTTTGCTTCATAATCCATTGTGTTGTTTCTGCACAATCTTAAAAATTCAGCCAACACATGGACAGATGTTTTTATAAAGATACAATCCTTTCCTGTTAGTCCCCACATGTAGGCATTATAAGGTGCTTCAAATCCAAAACATACTGGGCTTTGGCACTGAGTCCGCTGCCTCATCATGGCTGGCTGACTGGTTTTGGCCCCATGTGACTTGAGGGGTGGATCAATGTTGATGGCTGGATCATTGATACAGTTTCTCCTGTTTGTGACCCAGCTGGGCTGTGGAATACAGCTCATACGGCCATGATGTTAGTGTTGTCACTTCACTTCTTCATGATAGAGGAGATATCCAGAAACATGCTCTGAAAAAGACAAGAAGACAGCTTTGACTTAGACTGTAGAATTCAGTAAAGCAAGCATCAGTATGTTTTCAAAGTCATTGCTTAAAAGAACATTCTTAAAGTGCTTAAACACCATATGTAAACATAAAGGAATACTTTCTGGGAGCAAGAAAAGAATGATGAAGAAATCCTTTATGTCTACCAAAACTGAGTCTCCAACAATGTGCAGATATATACACTTTTCTGTAAAAATATTCTTGATGCTTTAGACATGTCATCATTGGTTTATTTTTAACGCTATTGCTGATAAGGTAGCACTAGAATGATTTTTTAAAATAATAAACTAAATATGAAATCTACGGCGGCTGGTAGGTGTCATTAAGAAAAAATGACACCCAAAACTAAAGCTATATTTTATTAACAAATATATAGCACTAAAGTGTTATCCCTTTAAAAGGAATGTTGAATAAATAACACAATCCCAAGCATTTTCACGAATCTCCAATGTTAAACGATGTGCTGTCTTTTGTTAAATGTTATATGTTTTATGCCATGTTATGTAAATTCCATTGCACAATAATATGAGAACATGAATTACTAATTAGTAAGCACAAATGTTTAATTTGAGAGTACAACTAGCCATCTGTATTTATCAAGGATTATATATATATTTCTTCTATAAAATTCATATTGAATCCAATTGTGCATTTTAATATGTTTTATAATTATTTATTAATTAATTAATGTGTTTAAATGTAATTTGTTAAGAAAATAAATATAAAATATTTATCTTTTACATATATTTCATTTCTATTGCATCTTAAATTTGACATAGCTATCTAATCTTGTTGTATTTATCTATCTAATCTATCTGAAAAATATTAAAAAACCAACAAACAAACAACCCCCCCAAAAAATTTTAACGCCTAACCCTTAAGTTTTAAAATCAAAATTCAAGTCAGTGCTGGCAGTTCTGTGTACTGGCTCTGATGGCAGCACATTGCCTCCTCCCTTTTGCTGTTGCTGTTTTGCTTTTCAAATTGAGTTTGGTCAGAACTGAAGGGCATTATCTGAAATAACAATAGCAGTTTGATTTTTTCTTATTACTTCCACTGAGAACATTGAATGGACACAGGCTGCCAATGTGTCAGTATTGGGCTACATCCAAATCAGCAGAAATTTGTTTTCTCTCTTCAAAACACCACTTCATCTCTTTTGAAAAGTCTTCATCAGTGACTGTTTATCACATCTTTTTGGTTATGGTATTGGATATTTTGGCCAGATTTGTTGGTTAACTTAGTAGGCTAAATACTTCATAATAAACTAGCAGAAACTTTATGTTTTATATATACAACTCAATACATAGTACTGAATAACATTTTTGCTATTATGTTTCTGCACTGTATGTCTTGTCTGTCTCTAACTTTGTGTTGTGTTGTTGCTGTTGTCTTGACTAGGTCTCTGTTGAAAATTAGAGCCAGTGTCTCAGTTACATGACCTGCCTAAATAAAGGTTAAATAAAAAAAATTTAAAAAACACTCTTATGCTGTAGACAACAGTGACAGATAAAACCCAGGTGGAGGATAAGCTGCTCTCAGATGGTTGGGTGTGCCCTTTCTTTTAATACTTTGCCTTCCATGTTCTCAACTACCATGAAATGTCATTCAGACAAATTTCTGATCTTTACTTGCCATTGACATTCTTCGGCCTCCAGCAGGCGGCATCATTGGCATGTCTCCCTGCAGGGAGCCCAGTTCATCCGACTCCTCTGAGGTATGTAAGGAAGGGCTCGTGGAGCGACTGATGGAGGACAAGCTCTCAGATGGTGGTCTGATCATGAAGCTGGTCTTCCTGGGGTTGTGCAGCAGGACCTCGCTTCCCATCGACTCCCTTCGCTCATCCTCATCCAGGTCTCTGATAGCGCTGGGCCTTAAGGTGCTAGCTGACAGCAGAGATTCCAAGTGGCTGGGTTGAGGGTGTTCTCCATCATGGGGATCCTCAAGATGGCTTGTTTTACTTTCCTCCACATTGGACACAGCAGAAGCCCAGGCTGGATGGTTGTCCACCATGGCTGTGCTGACCTCTGGACCTTCATGGGTTTGGGGGGCTTGGATTGCACAGTTCTGGTCAGACCTGGGTGGCATCCTAGGTTGGGGGCAGATATAGCTGGTCTGACTGTAACGCAGATGAGCCAAGCTGTTGTGTCTTAGTGCGTCCTGGTTGGCTTTAAGCCCAGTGTTATAATGAGGAGGCTTCATGTCTGCCTCTGGAATCACTTTGAAGGTCTGAGTCAAAGGCCCATTGTGAGGTGATACAGTGCTCATTACACAGAGGTGTGGTAAGGACGCCTTCTTCTTGGACTTGTAAATCAAACTGTCATCTTCCGTGTACCTCTCTCCATACAGTGTCTGTTTGATTTTCCTGATGCCCAGGTGGGATATTTCCAGAATGTTCAGGAAAAGTGACACACCAGCGATGGCGATCATGAAGACCATGAAGATGGTCTTTTCTGTGGGCCTAGAGATGTAACAGTCTACACTGTTGGGGCAAGGTAGCCTCTCACACTTATAGAGCGGCTCTAGTTGGACACCATAGAGTACATACTGGCCCAGGATGAAGCACACCTCCACCGCAGAGCGTGTAAGGATATGGATGATGTAGGTTCTCAACAGAGAGCCTCTGAGAGGAGCCTTCTTCACCCTTCTCTGCTCGTCCAGCTTCCTCAGCTCCCTCTCCATGCGCTTATGCTCATCCAACGCCAACTCAAGCTCGTCCAGCTCCTCCTTCAGCTGGGCTCGTTTGCGGTGTCGCTCCTTCTCTAGCGATCGGATGCAGTAGAGGGCGTGGCCCATGTAGACCAGCGAGGGTGCAGAGACGAAGATGACCTGCAGGACCCAGAAGCGAATGAGGGAGATGGGGAAGGCACGGTCGTAACAGACTGCCTTGCAGCCAGGCTGGTCAGTGTTGCAGACAAACTCGGACTGCTCATCATCCCATACGTCCTCAGCGGCCGCACCCAGGATCAGCATGCGGAAGATGAAGAGTATGGTAAGCCAGATCTTGCCCACAATGGTGGAATGAATGTGGACCTCTTCTAGGATGCTGCCCAGCAGGTTCCAGTCACCCATGGTCAGCTTCTCACCACTTCAGTGCAACATGTCCTTGAACTGTGGAGACACAGCATGCACATTACCCTCACAAAGCCTACAACGGCTACATATTGCTATGAGATTGTACAGGAAAGGTACACTTTATTACAACTTGGGTTTTATTTGTGTAACTCTGTTGGTGATGATAACATTTGATACACTTACTGAGATTTCAAGACACAGCGACTTAGCTAAAAATACATTCAATGAGGCAAGAAACTCAAGCAGTCAGAGGATCAGACCGCCTGTGAGAGTTTGGCCAGATGAGCTACTGCTTCCTTTGGAGGTAAAACCCAAATTAGGTTCAGCAGTAATGTCAAGTTGGGTTGCTGTTGTGGATGTTTACAACAGACAGTTTGGCTTGTAATGTTACCATATGCATTAATTTCTCTTCCAAATATATTTGGCTAATGTTGGGGTTTGTTTACAACCTGAACCTAAACTTCAGACTGCTTGTACTTATTGCTCTATTGCATGTATATGTTGGGGTGTTACAAGATTTTAGAAATTACATTGGCAAGAAGAATGTTATCCTAACCAACCTAATCAGTGGCCAAATCTACGAAAACTAAATTGTTATTCTGTTAAGAATAAAGCTGGGTTTTTTTTAATCCCATGAAAAGACTCAAACCAACACAGTTTTAGTCTGTCTCTCAGTACCTTCTGACTTCTGTCTTTGGCTCTTAGCCTTAAGCCCAATGGTTCCTACTGAAGAAGTACATCTTAAAAAACTGTTTTCCCATTTTTAAAATGGCAGTGACCACTGACATGCTACCCAGTGGTTGGTGCTTGTCCAATCCTGTGGAAGTCTGACTGGAGGAGAGAACTGTCAATCATGTGTTGTACAGCCTACGGAAAAAACGGGCGCTGTGCCAAACAAATGTCTGGTCGGACCAAAAAAAGAAGCCAAACTTGTCTGGCATTGTGATGTAACTGAAAGCTTGAAATTGAAGACTTTGAAGTGTCATCAGATGATAATGTGAAATAGTGGATACATTCTTGGGCTGTTGTTTGTGACCTTATACTAGACCCCAGTATATTACCATGGCTGCTATCATAGAGCTTTACCATCTGTTTGATCATATAGCCTATGGTGCAGCTCCACTCTTTTTAAATATTTAATTGCCAGCACCGAATGTTTGATGTGCATTCACCAGATAACCCATGATCAAACACATAGACGCATTCACACATAGAAATAATTTGCATATTCATAGAAGTCATCGAAATTCACTGTAAAATAAAATTAGCATGTTAATCTATGAGAATGTCAGAAATTTGGCTGGAACCATTACTTTCTTTTTATAGTAACAATAATGAATAAAAGTATAACATTTACAATCACTATCCAGGTCTTCTGACTATATAGGACCAATGTTTAGCACAAACATTACATCAAATGACTCCCTTCAATGAAGCAACCACTGCAGCAGCACTTACATATCACTGGTATGGGTACCCTCTTTGCCTCTTGATGCACTTCATCGTGTTCACATAAGGATCCCAGGAGTGGACTGCGTCTGTATGGCTACCCCATGGAGGTATTTGGTGGTCCTCTCGCGCCTATTGCAAACTGCAGTCCCTCGGCTTTCCTCTGTCTTTGTCTCTCTGTGTATCTGTTGGCTGCCCGTGTGTTGGGAGCACTCTCCCGTGTTACATGCAGGGTTCACAGGATGTGAGCATCGATCATCTCCCGACGGGACAATGCCCCCCCCTCCCCTTCTCCCACGCCGGCAGTGCCAACTATAACCAGTGTCATCAATATCTGCCCCCCTCTGTGACAGAGATGACATTTTTATGGTCGGTCTTTCACATAGGGTCTTCTGCCATCAACGTAAAGATGCAACTGAGCCAACGGGGAGGCCTGAGCAAGATCGGTTTACTTATCTAATGTGGATAATGTGGTTTCATGGATCATGTCCTACCTGTTGTCTTACACACAGTTCTTAATTTGGGATGTGGGGGTCATGCATGTCAGTCCATGTACATGCATGCATGACTGCCTGGCAGGCCTGCTGTTCAAATTCAATTTCAATTTCGGGGACATTGTAAAAATCTTCATGTGAAAATTACACACAAAAAAAGAAACATCTCCACAGATACGACCCTGGTCAATATTTTTTAAATTAACAATAGGTCGAATGTGTAATGTGAAAGGTCACTTGTAACAATAAACACAAAATTCTTCTTTTTTTTTTATTAAAGCCCGGCAGCAATTCAAAACATTGTATTTTCTGTTTGTCATAGTGAACGTGTTAGCCAACAATGAGTTGCCCAAAAACTGAAATCTATGCAACTTTAACTTTAAAGGTCCAGTGTGTAAGATTTAGTAGCATCTAGTGGTGCAGTTGCAGAGTGCAATTCCCTCGCTTCACCCTCCCTTTGCCCGCATGAACTATGGTGGCCGTGAACACCATAGTTTCTCCTAGTTTCTCATGCTTGTAAGGACAAAACGTGATATAGAGCCATGTTTCTATATTCAGACAATTATACACTAATGAAAACCTACCGATCTGGGCTTCTGTAAAAAAAACATGGTGCTTCAACATGGTGGATATTGTTGAGTCTCATTCGCAGGCAACAAATACAGATGCTTTGGGACCCTGGGAATGAGACTGAATAATCATCAATCTTCAAGCCTCCAACCCAAAGCATCTTTGAGATCTTTCTCGGCTCTGATTGGTTGTTTTTATTTGTGGATGGTTGGGTGTACTCTTTCTTTTAGAACTTTGCACTAGGAGCACTAGTAGGAACCAGAGGAACCAGATTTTTTTCACAGATTGTCTTTCTTATGTTTTACTGTCAGGATATAGTGAGTTTCAGCGAATATGACCAAAAGTCACCAACTGCAGCTTTAAAATAGACAAGTTAGACAACAATTTATAGAATTGTAACAACTTATAATAGACAGTTTAAAGAGACAGAAAAGAGGGTGAGGGAGAGGAGAATGACATGCAAGCCCTCCTGCCAGAATTGAACTATGGGTGTTATGTGGCGTGCACCAGTGTGCCTTATCCATTAGGCTGGTACACCCCTTTTATTATTATTTAATACTAAAACATACTGCAAGAAGTTTTTAAAGGTTGGATCTATTTCTCTTTTAAATGTCTTTACACTGTTAGAGCATTGTTAATGAATTCTATAGACTTTTCTGCAGTATGCATGACTCCAGTTGGTGCGCTGAGTAAGCAATGTACCTTAGACCAGATGCACTGCTGCATATCAAAAAACTGTTAAACAACCACATGAGGGATGAGTTTTTAACATATTAAGTGCTGACACTACCCTGGTCAGGGAGGCCCACGGACCAGACCCCTCCCTCAGACCACAGACTAAAGCAATAGTACATAATACTGGCTTGATTTGAGAGCACTGGTGCTTGGATGCATAAAATGACCAGCTATGCCTGGAGGGCCTTTAATTAGGTTTCCATCGCGCTCTGACAGAGTCAATGGAGCATTGATTTGATTTTCCCTTCAGAAGCTGCGGCTATGGTCGCTGAGGCCAAATGTCACACCAGGATCATTGGGTTACACAACCAACGGCACTCTGTCCGATAGCCTGACTGACAGCTGAGCAGCGAGGGCGGGACTTTGTCCAGTCTGTCCATTTGTTGACACCAGACCTCAACTCACCCACACATATGGTTTATGTTTTTGCCCTTGGGTGCCCAAATGAAGTGAACAGGCCTACCACCAAGGTGATGATTTTCACAAAACTTTTATTGTCCTTTATTTTTAGTAATTACTCTGATATAGTTATGGTTCCCAACCTTTGTTTTTCTAAAGGGAGCCCTTTTCTATCATTGAATGACTGACATATTTTATGGATATTTCATATTATATTCAATAATAACAATAACAGTAGAGAACAACTGATAAACTGTACAATGAACCCAAACAGTGAACACAATAACTGCAGGAAGTTTGTGTATTTAAGTAATTTGAATGCATTTTGAGCAGATTATTTTTCTCTGAATATTGATCAGAGATGAGTTTTCCTGATATACAATATATATCTATTGGCAGAAATGGAATATAATATTCATAGCATGTTTTCATTAGTGTATAATCACCTGAAAATAGAAATCATTGCATTTTCCTCACTTTAGAATGAGCTGGGACAAACCAAACACTGGCTCTAGATAGGTGTGTGCAGCCACTGTAGTTTTTAATACATATTTGGAAGTGGAGGGTGGCGTGATGGAGTTGCGATCTGCAGCTACATCACTAGATTCCACTAAATCCTACACCCTCAACCTTTAACTGCTTATGAATAATACTGATGCCTCAATATGACCTACATAAACAAACAAGACCCTCAGAGAGACAGGAACACAAATTAACATTCCTTATAGCTGCTTTAAAGTAAATTTTGCTAAAGTATAATGAATAAGTAGTAGTGAAGTAAGATACCATTTGAATCCAGGACTATTGTTATGGAGTATTTACAGGGTGGTATTATTACTTTAAGGAACCTTGTGGAGTTCATGACCAGTGTTGGGGAGTAAGGCATTGCTAGTAATAATATTAGGGTAATAATATTACTTTCTACTAGTGTGTAATAATATTACACCCTCCTACTGATTTGAAATCCAACAATCTAATCACATCCTTGGATTCATTTTTGTAATTGTGGAAGAAGATGGAAGCACTTACATATAGCAGCTGGAAATATTCCATTACTCTGATTTTAACAAACAAAACTGGATTTTAATCATCACAAGTCTGAACTTTTGGGGAAAAAGGACAGACTAATTTAGCAACGACTTTATGAGCTTCTTTTATGATGAAATGATTACTATTAGAGACAAAATTAATAAGAAAATGCCCTCAACAGGTATCGCTGTCTTTCCAAGTTCAGGAACTTTAACAAATGTAAAATCAGATATACTCTTAGACTGTTTTTCTGCTATCGATCTTCATCAACTAACTTCAGTAATTTCTACATCGAAGCCATCAACCTGTCTGTTAGACCCCATCCCAACTAGGCTGCTTAAAGAAGTCGTACCCTTATTTGGCACTTCCTTACCGGATATGATCAATCTTTCTTTATTATCAGGATATGTACCACAGTCCTTTAAAGTAGCTGTAATTAAACCCCTTCTTAAAAAGCCCGCTCTTGACCTAGGGGTTTTAGCCAACTATAGACCGATTTCTAACCTCCCCTTCCTCTCTAAGATTCTGGAGAAAGTAGTCCCCAACCAGTTTTGTGACTTTCTACATAGCAATAGCTTATTTGTGGATTTTCAGTCAGGATTTAGAGTTCATCACAACACAGAGACAGCTCTGGTTAAAGTTAATTACAACCTTTTAATTGCTTCCGACAATGGACTTCTCTGTACTTGTATTATTAGATCTTAGTGCCGCATTTGACACCATTGACCATAATATTCTTTTACAGAGACTTGGCATTAAAGGAACCATTCTAAGCTGGTTTAAGTCATACTTATCAGATCGTTCTCAGTTTGTACATGTTAACGATGAATCCTCCATAAATACTAAAGTAAGTCATGGAGTTCCACAAGGTTCTGTACTAGGACCAATTTTATTCACTTTATACATGCTTCCCTTAGGCAATATTATTAGGAATCACTTTGCACTGTTATGCAGATGATACCCAGTTATACCTGTTGATCAAGCCTGATGAAATTAATCAGTTCTCTAAGTTACAAACATGTCTTAAGGACATAAAACCTGGATGAGCTGCAATTTTCTGATGCTAAACTAAATTCTTGTACTTGGCCCCAAACACCTACGAGACTCACTGTCTTAAGATATACTTACTCTAGATGGTATACCTTGGCCTCTAGCACCACTGACAGGAATCTTGGAGTTATCTTTCAGGACATCCGGACATGTCCTTAAATTCCCACATAAAGCAGACCTCTAGGACTGCCTTTTTCAGAACGCTGCAGCACGAGTACTGACAGGAACTAGAAAAAGAGATCACATCTCTCCTGTACTAGCTTCTCTACACTGGCTCCCTGTAAAATTCAGAATAGAATTTAAAATCCTCCTCCTCACCTACAAAGCTCTTCATGGTCAGGCCCCTTCATATCTTAAAGAGCTCATAGTACCCTATTACCCCTCTAGAACACTACGTTCTCTGAATGCTGGGCTACTTGTGGTTCCTATAGTCTCTAAAAGTAGAACAGGAGCCAGAGCCTTCAGTTACCAAGCTCCTCTCCTGTGGAACCAGCTTCCAGTTGTGGTTCGGGAAGCAGACACCCTCTCCATATTTAAGAGTAGGCTTAAGACATTCCTCTTTGATAAAGCTTATAGTTAGGGCTGGATCAGGTGAGTCCTGAACCATCCCTTAGTTATGCTGCTATAGGCCTATACTATCGGGGGATTTCCCATGATGCGCTGAGCTCCTCTCTTCCTCTCTCTCTCTCTTTCTGCACTCATTCATGTCCCATTAATACATGTTACTAACTTCACTTCTTCCCCGGAGTTCTTGTGCTTTCTCGTCTCGCAGGTTCTCATGGATCCTGGTGGAGCCTCCTGCCATGGTCCTGCTTGACTGCCATTGCTAATATCACTGATATTATTGTTATTACTATTATTATTACTACAGTTACTATTATTACTATAATCACTGCTCATTGTCCCTGATCGTTGTCGTCGTCGTCGTCATCATCTTCTTCATGTTCATCATCATCATCAGTCACTACTATTCTCACCCCAACTGGTCAAGGCAGACAACCACCCACCTAGAGCCGAGGTCTGTCCAAGGTTTCTGCCCCTTAAAAGTTTTTCCTTGCTGCTGTCGCCAAGGTCTTGCTCATGGTGGTACTGTTGGGTCTCTGTAAATAATGTTATAAAGAGTTCGGTCTAGACCTGCTCTATTGGCACTATACAAATAAAATTGAATTGAACTGAATTGAATTAATTTATGGAGGCTAGCAGGAAAGTAAAATAACTAGTAGTGTAACTAATTACTGTTTGCCAAGATTACTCTTTTGAAAAGAGTAACAACTAATGAGTGATTAAAAATTACATTTCATGTAAATTATTTTTATTTTATATTTACATATTTTATGACATTACAACTGGTTTACAAATCTTCCAGTGCACACCATGATACTAGGATTGACATTATTTAATCAATATATTACATTAAAAACAAAAAGGAGCGAACTATGTATTTCACATGTTGCTTAATCAGAGTCCCTCTGTGCTCGATTGCCATCAGGAGAGCCTTTAAAGCTGCAGTAACTTTTATAAAAAATAACTTTTTGTCATATTTGCTGGAACTTTCACTATATCCTGACAGTAGTACATGAAACAGATAATCTGTGGCTATAATCTAATGGCATTTGTAAGAATCCACTGTGCCTGAATGAAAACAACCAATCAGAGCCAAGAAAGTAAAAGACACTTTGGGTTGGAGGCTTGAAGATAATTGATTGTTGAGTCTCATTCCCAGTGTTGGTATCTGATGACCTGGGAATGACAATCAACTATCTTTCTTTGCGCTGATTGGTTGTTTTTCTTCAGGCCCGGTGGGTTCTTGCATATGCCATTAGAGCTCTAGGAGGAGCTAGAGGAACCTGATTTTTTCCACAGATTATCTGTCTGATGTCAGGATATAGTGAAAGTTTCAGCAAATATGACAAAAGGTTATTCTTTTATAAAAGTTACCTACTGCAGCTTTGACTGGTTAGGTGCTGACCAATAGGCTCACATTCCCCAATACAAATACACTTCAAAACATCAACAATAATAGGCAATAACAACTATAATTCTATCACACAACATTAGACATAAATATTGCATTCTATTTCCATAGGACTATAAGCTGCAGTTAGTGTCAGAGCACAAAAGCTGACAATTCCAGATGTAGGATGCATACATTTCAATAAGATACCATAATTGAGCACAAAACACTTGAATTTCCTCAAATTAAGATATGTATCAAAAACTAGTAGAAAAAAGTAGAAAAAATACAAGAAATATATTAGAAGAAAGAGGGTACTATACAAAATACACAATAGTACATATCAGAAGTAGCAGGAGGTGAATGTATTTATAGAATAACTATTAAATATACCTTAATAAGGTATGTAGCTTAATCTTTATTTTGAATTCTTATAGCTGCTTTATGTTCAGCTATTCTCAGTTTAAGATTACACTTTGTCTGGTAACTAATATTTTTTGAGGGGGTAACTGTAATATTAATGAAATGTATTAGTAATTAGCTACCCTACTAGTTACTGGGGGAAGTATATTATTACTGTAATCTATGTATGCACTTCTTATTTATTTGTTTATTTATTTGGCTGTTTTTTTTTTACAACTTTTAGGGGCAAAACAAGAGGGGAGGCAGCTGCCACTCTTTTTGCCGCCCGCTGTAAACAAAGGTGATATGAGTTTTTAAATATTAAAGCAAAAGTGAAAAATTCTCCATTAGTTTCCTCCAGTATTAATAACGTCTGAGTTTTCTGCATTCTCATTTGTCTTCAGCTTCTGAAGCTCCTCCTCCAGCGCGCTTATTCGCTGCTGTAGCTCCTTTCTGTCCTGCTGGGCTCTCAGCTCCGTCTGATGCTCCACCTCCATGAGCTTCCTCTCATACCAACGCTCCAGCTGAGTTGATACCGTCTCAAAGAAACGCTGAGTCACCTGACAGAAAGGAAACGACACGTTTGAAGTGGAAGTTTTAAGATCAGTTTGAGTTCAGATTTTTACCACAGCTTCTTAATGAAATAGTTCAACTTAAAGTCTTAAAGAAAAGTGTTTTTTGGAGCATGTTTGCTTGACTGACAAGTGCAGTCCAAGCCTGTCCTGGCTGCTGTGGTGACCAGTTACCCATGAGTACGCTCACCTCTTTGGCATGCAGATTGTTCCTCTCTTGGCTAAATGTGGGCTCAGTGGGACGGTCGATAAAGAACTCCAGAGTCCTGGTGCTCTCAGTGTGTATCCCTGCATGGTTGTGGGTGCTCATCAGCTCTCCATAGTGTGTCCTGTACTGTTCCTGATGTTGGATGAGTCTGGGTCCCGGGTCGCTGATGCTGGACTGGCTGCAGCTGCTTGAGAAGCCCTCCCCACACAGTGGCACCATTGCTCCTGTGGGACTGTCCTTCACTCCCGAGCCCAGCAGGAGGTCTGAAGGGGTTTTGGTAGGCAGAGGGAACAGGGCTGTGTTCTCATAGTCATCTGATAGGAGAGAAATAACTAGAGAATGTATACAGTAAACACTTTACATTGAGGTACAAATAGTCACCATTAACTAGTTGTCCCATGGCATGCATATTATTTGCACTTGGACTTGGCCAATGGTCTGGTCAAATATTCTACTTGGTGTCTTTTTTTTCTGAAGTAGCTTCCTTCTTCAAAACAAAAAATAAAAGATTGATGATGCTTAATTTTGAAATTAAATGCAGTCTCATGATTCTACATTTTCATTCTGATTCATACAGGACATTATCTCTATCCGTGGTTCTATCTATGCTCCGTTGATCTGATGGGTTGAAGTTGGCCTGTGATAGACGGGGATAGACAGATGGTTCATCCAATCAACTGCCAAGTATTTTTTTAAATGGCCTGCCACTGAATGTAATGTAGGCTGTTCTTGGACATACCTGGTGACCTGTCCACTTTCATTTCAAAGTATGTCCTGCTCCCCAGCTGCTCTTGCTTGGGGCCTCCCAGACTGTTGGTAGATTTGGATGGCAAGATGTTGACATAGGTAGCCAGTGAAGTGCTGCTGTCTCCAGATACCACAGAAAGCAAGGGGAGTGACTCCAGGTCAGTGTCTGCCACAGACTGCTCCACAGACGGTGAAGGGAGGAGTTTGTAATACTGGGCTTTGGCTGGGACTTGAACATCCATGTCCTTCAGCTGGGACATACACCACCTCTTCAATTCATTACTCACCGCTGCCTGCTTGAGACGAAAGCTCATATTCATCAGACCTTACAAGGACCACTGTGTATGATTTAGTTTTTAAAGATAAAAGTCAGAAAATCTAAGATTTAAGTATTACATGTTAAATGTTTGCACTACATAGTGGACCAATCTTTTTGGTACAACACAAATGAGTGAGAAATGCAAGCTGTTACAGGTCCGGCCACCATAGTTTCTCCTTTGTGCTTGGAAAGGGAGGGTGACGTGAGTGCAATCTAAAACTACACCACTAGATGCCACTGGGGTGGCTGTGACTCAGAGGAAGAGTAGGTCGTCTACTAATCGGAAGGTTGTTGGTTTGATCACCAGCTCCTCCCGCCACATGTTGAAGTATCCTTGAGCAAAATACTGAGACCCGAAGTGCTCCCGTTGCTGTGTGTGAAGTTGGCCTGCGATAAACGGTGATAAACAGATGGTTCATCCAATCACCTGGCAAGTATTTTTTTAAATGGCCTGCCCTTTTCCAAACAGTTTCCAATGAAGACATGAGTAATAAGTCATAGATCTATCACTGAACAGTAATTCTAGATGGCTGTATGTGTACAATTCTAAGATTATTCTCAGTCCACAGATCCCTTGAAGATTTTAAGGTGTTTTTAATTATATTTTATAAAAGGAAGTGGGAAGTTGCATCCAAGCCAAAATAATCTTTTTTCTCATAATCAGAGTATGAATGTATAATTTCTTCCCAGTTATGGTCAATTATGACCACTCAAAGCACTTTCAGACTACATGCCACATTGACCCATTCACACACATTGATGCAGACAGAAAATTTCATGCATTCATGCAAACAGAAGCATAATTCACACACATTCCTACATCCGTACACAGCATCTGGAGCAATTTGGGGTTCAGTATCTTGCTCACTTTGATATACAGTGGGAGAAGCCAGCAGCCAACCTTCTGATTAGTGGATGACCTACTCTACCCCCTGAGACACAGCCACCACACTACCATCATGAAGGTTCAACATGTAATAAAACATAAAAATACAACATAAAATAAGACCATCCCATGTGTTCTGTGTGCTGTAAATTATAAGAGGTACCTGTGTCATCAGGGTTTCCTCTCTTCCCTGGGCAATTCTCTGCTCGGTCCTGTACATTATGTTCTTCCTCTCTGCTGCTGCTCTTTCCTGATTCAGCATGTCCAACACTTTAATCTGCCCATGCCAAAGTGTAGACAAATCAGATTGTAAAAAAATATTTTGGAACTTTCTGGCATGAAAATTAAAAAAAGAAATTTGCATTTGACCTGGCATAAAAAAATAAAAAAAAAGAGCCAAACTAAACTTCAGTGCAGTGATAGTGCCCCCTACATGGATTTTCTCCAACAGGTGTGTTTGGTACCTACTTAACATATTGCTACTGTCAGTCTTACAAAAATGTAAGGACAATTCATAGTTCAAGTTCGGCTTTAAAGACAACAAAATACAGACAACCAGTAGGTTTACTCAAAGAATGGAAATTGGTATCAAACTTTAAAAACACAAATAAACTGAACCATCAGCTTAAGACACTGAAGGTGTATAAACAAACTGTATAAGCCATGATCTGTAAGCTGAGCAAGTGGAAGCACACCTGGTGTCTGTTCCTGCGGTCCATTTGGCCCAGCCTACTGTTGACTTGCTCCTGGACGTTCAGGATGTGCAGCTTCATCTCCTCCTGTGTGAATTGCAGTTGGCCCTCTAGCTTCTTGAGCAGGGGCCTACAATGGCATCCATCGGCTGGTGCCTAAAGAGAATGGTCACAAGCACATTCAGCAGGATTGCACCCTGTTAATGGTAATGGTAAATGGACCTGTACTTGTATAGTCTTCCGACCACTCAAAGCGCTTTTACACTTTTACACTACGTGTCACATTCACCCTTTCACACACATTCACTCAGTGATGGCAAAGTCCATCGAACAGAAACTAACATTCATTCACAGGGAGCAATTTGGGGTTCAGTATCTTGCTCAAGGATACTTCGACATGTGGCACCAGGGGCTGGGGATCGAACCCACAACCTTCCGATTTAGGAACGACCTGCTCTGCCCCTGAGCCACAGCCACCCCCTGGTTCAACGTTTCTAGCAAATGTGCTCAATGTAAAGTTTTAGAAACAAGATTTTCTCAAACTCCACTCCTAACATTGTGGTTTTTAAGTTCATTGACTATTTAAAGCTACAGTAGGTCGTTTTTATAAAAATATTTTTTGTCATATTTGCTGACTCAGCACTCAGCACTGAACCACCTTCAAGCCACCATCCCAAACCCTCTTTCTATCTCTCTTGGCTCTGATTGGTTGTTTTCCTTCAGGCCCAGTGGATTCTTGCAAATACCATTGGGAGCACTAGGAGGAGCCAGAGGAACCTGATTGTTTCACAGATTGTCTCATGTTCTACTGTCAGAACATTTCAGAAAACTTCAGCAAATATGACAAAAGCATATTTTTTATAAAAATTACCTACTGCAGCTGTAACCCTCTCTGGAACCTTCAGATTTATAAATGAATCGCTGAGAATAACAATTGCTTTATGTAAAATGTTTGTAGTTTAAAAAATAAAACTCATCAATAACCTGTCTAATGTTGCCATCCTTATCACGGTACAGTGTGTAAAGTTGATAGGTTTTTCCATTCTTAGCAGAACTGTCTTCACCATTATCACAGAGCAGATCCCTCTTAATGTTGAGGTCATTCTTGCCTTTTCTCAGATCATCTCCATTCCAAGCCTACAAAGGAGGAAAAGTAACATGAAGTAAAAGTAACAACAAAATGCTGCTGTCAAGAATCCCTCATGATCATTCATTCATTCTGCAACTAACTCTTTCCTGACAGTTTCTCCACCCACTTGCTCACCTGCTTCCCATTCCATCTGATTACCTCAGTAGCATGTACACTAGCCCACTCCCACTAGTCCTTTGCCAGATTGTCCTTTGCATTGAGCATTCCAGCCTTCCAAGATGCCTGCTCCTCAGCCTGTTTTCTGGACTTTGATTCTTGGCTTTGATTTCTGCCTGTTTTTTGGATTAAAGACACTGGACTTTGCTCTTACCTACTTACTGCTGTTCTGTGCTATCCCCATTACATTACAACCTGGCTAGGATTAACCCAGCCAACTCTGAGTTAGTAGGGCACAAGCTGCCTGGGAATCCTGGGATGCACAAACCTTTTTTTTTTATCTAGAACTGCAGTTCCATGACAAACCCCCTGGATGTCATCTAGCATTCACTGTAAAACATAGACTGTCATCCTATCAATAAAACCTAACTCCAATGAACCATTGAAATTATTACTTACTTAGTGAACTGCAATGTGTGCAGTATTTTAAGTATTAGTGATATCATTCCAGTTTGTCCCACTGACACATATGCTGCATATGACTGATGTACTTGTCCGTTGTTGACCTACCTGTTCCTTGGCTCTCCGCTTGTGGTGGTTGTAGGGGCTGCTGGTGGCCGCTGGGTTCTTGTGGTAAAGCTGCTGCTGCTGCTTCTGCTGTTGGTGAGGACCCACCTTGACGGCAGTTCTGCTCTCCGTGTGTTCACTGCTGGGGGTTTCCTCCACCACAGAACTGCTGTCCTCCTCCGGACACATAGACAGGACGTACAGCATGGAATTCAAGTCAAATGCAAAATAAAAACTGTATTCAGTGAAACAATGATAGCAAAAGCTGAAATTTTAAGGATCTGACCTAATGCGACTAACTAATCCTCTTACCTCCATGTGCTATAAAGACTGACTCTTTTTGTATTTCCTTACCTTGTTTGGTAGAATGTCTACCCTGGTGACAGACTGGGTCCGGCGCTCAGCTGTCAGTCTCTCTCTTTGTTTCCTTATTGTTCTTCCTCGCATGAAGCGATGAACCTAAAGACAATTATAAAAGCCGCTATGGTTACATAGCCCAAGGAACACTTCTGTCCAATCCTTCCTACATCCAGTATATGGTCAAACCATGCACCCCAGCCCGTCCACCACACTCTTTCATTTGTTTCCACACTCCGTCACTATAAAAAGGGCCCAGCTACTGCTCAACAAAACCCAGACAGTTTTTTGTCCTGGCTCCACAATTGTGGAATGGGCTTCCTGTTTATATCAGGACAGCAGAAACTGTACACATGTTAGCTAAGTTGATGAAGTTCATGTGCTGGTTACAATGGTTGTATCCTCATGGTTGAACGCACTTATTGTAAGCTCCTCACAAAGTTGGGTTGAGCAAGAACTCGGCTGAAACAAGTATCTGGTACAGATAATGTTCTTTTTACGAGTTTCATCAGAGTAAAATGTTAATATCTGTACTCAACTGCACTACTGTTAATGTAATATAGCAACGTTTATTAAAAAAAACTTTAAAATGGTTCTCTAGCTCTTGTGATCACAAACATTGCTCTGACGCTCAATTCTGAGGCTAAAGTAGTTTAAAAAAATAGTTAAACCTAAGATACAAACCACATTCTTGACACCCCAGTGTTTTGGTTTAAAGCAGTGATCTCAAACTGCCAGCCTAGGGGCCCTTTCTGGCCCTCCAAGTTTTTTTTTCTAGATATTGCATATCAATTTAAACTTTCTTTTAATGGCAAAGGTCAAAGGTTCCTGCTAATGTGTGCAAAGAGAACAAGTTTCCGACCTCCTTTTGTTGTTTGGCTGATATAAAATGACAATATACAAATGTAGAGAAACTGTTGTCTTTATTCAAGACATTCCTCTTTGATAAAGCTTATAGTTAGGGCTGGATCAGGTGAGTCCTGAACCATCCCTTAGTTATGCTGCTATAGGCCTAGACTATCGGGGGATTTCCCATGGTGCACTGAGCTCCTCCCTTCCTCTCTCTTTCTGCACTCATTCATGTCCCATTAATGTATGTTACTAACTTCACTTCTTCCCCGGAGTTCTTGTGCTTTCTCGTCTCGCAGGTTCTCATGGATCCTGGTGGAGCCTCCTGCCATGGTCCTGCTAGATTGCCATTGCCAATACTGTTGTTGCTGTGCACCTGTCTGTCTGTCTCTCGCTCTCTCTCTCTCTCTCACCCCAACTGGTCGAGACAGACGACCACCCACCTAGAGCCGGAGGATCTGTCCTAGGTTTCTGCCTTTTAACAGGCAGTTTTTCCTTGCCCTTGTCGCCAAGGTGTTGCTCATGGTGGTACTGTTGGGTCTCTGTAATTAATGTTATAAAGAGTTTGGTCTAGACCTGCTCTATTTGAAAAGTGTCCTGAGATAACTTCTGTTATGAATTGGCGCTATACAAATAAAATTGAATTGAAAATCAATTATTGTAAGTATGATGTTAGTAATGGAAATATTTCCAGAATATTGCGTTTTTTTGTAGAACTTGAATGTTGAAGTGCGCCTCCTATACCAGCAGAGCATACCAGAGACCCCTGGTTTAAGTTTATATCTAATACAAAAATATGAACTAATGAAATCTAGGATATGTTTTTAATGCAGACACCAACCTGAGGAGCTCTGGCCAACAGAAGTGCCACATCTTTGTGGTTGTTATCTCTGGCCTTGTCAAGGGCTGTTTTACCTGCCTGGAAGTGAAGAGTAGATCATGAACAAGAAAAAAAAACACACTGACATTCATATGACCCATAGCAAAACTGTAATGCAATAGTTGCCTTGTATTCTACTGTCAGAAAGGTGCTTTGAAGGAGCTCTGCAGTATCTACATTTTGCATGAAAAATAACTGATGATGTCATAAGGGTTATCTCAGCTTGGGTTGAAGCAATGTTGGAGTGTTTTCAGTGTTTTACTCATATTGGGACCTAAAGTCTGGCTATTTTGGCCTCAGCTACACAGAGTTTGGCCATTCATTTTGCTCTGTCTCTTGTTAGTCCCCCAATTGTATGACAGCACAATACTAAACTGTTGGAGTACCTCTTTCATTGTAATAAACGCTGTACACTGTGCATTTTCACTGTTGTCTGCTGGGTTAAACAGGTTAAGATTAACTTTGAAAGGGCCAATAAGTCAGATTTTAATGAAATCCTGACATATAGTGTGAAAACAATTAGTAATACCAGACTGCTTTTGGCAACATCAGTGTTAAGAAGCACACATGCTTTCTAGTAAAAACAAAAACAAACAACAAAACACATTGAGAGCGTGAAAGCTGTGAGGACTGATGGTACCAATGACTTGGTGGTGGTGTTCCATTGTCTCACAGAGCCAAACAGAGAAATAGAGAAGGACATGAGAGTACATAAAGCATATTATTGCTATGAGCACCACTTGTTATTGCATCTAAAAGGTGATGAGGTAAAATTAGGCAAATTGTGAACCTAAACATCCAGCTTGTAGATGGATGGTTGTATTGTAGGAACTTACATGGTTTCTGATTGTCCCATCAGTCCCTGCCTCCAGTAGGAGCTGAACTGTCTTCTTATGGTTCAGAGCAGCAGCCACATGGAGAGCTGTGTCCCCTCCCTACAGGCACAGACACATAGACAGCACAGTATGTTTGTTTAGCTGCAGTTTCCACTCTGGTGGAATTGAGTCAGGAAATTCACAGAAAGAACTGTGTATTATTTTTTTCAATGTGCAGTAGTTCAGGTGAAGATGCAACACAGTATAATTTCTCTACAAGTAAACACACAGTTCAGCAAGTATAGCAAATCAATAAAGTTTCTAATAATAAATTAATATTTATCTTTTTATTATCTAGATGGTGCAGTTGGTAACTACACTCAAACATAAATATATTATACATATACACGTAACACACACATATGTAACACATTAATGTAAATTAAGAAGCAGGATAAATCAAGCCTGGCTCTGACACACTGTACCTGGTTCCTCTCTGTCACAGTGCACAGTGAATTCAGCAGGATCTTCACCAAGGACAGGTTGTTGTAGCGAGCAGCCACATGCAAACACGTGTCCCCCCTCTGCAACCAAAACACAGCTCTTAGTGTCACGTTTTATCAGAGAGATTCCATGCTGAGTGATGTATCCATATGAAACTATTCCCTGTTCAACAGTTTATGGTCCCTTGCCTCAGTCGTGTCATAGTGGACAGTCTACTATTTTTGTAATCCTTCTGTCTCTGAGGCGAGCTCAGTGCATTGTGGGATGCTGGGGGACTCACATTGTTCTTGGTGTCTGGTGTGGCCCCTCCGAGCAGCAGGAGGCGAGCAGTCTGAGCGTGTGCGTTCTGACAGGCCAGGTGCAGCGCGGTGTTTCCTGCCTGAATCAACATAATAAAGAGTAAATGCAGCCCTGCAGCCTTCCATGTTAAACTGTAAGGTGAGCGCCCCCTGCTGGTTCCTTTTGCCTATTGGATCATATTAAGCATGTTCGAAAGAATCTTGGTGTCTGGTTTTACACTCCCAGTATGTTTTAGAATTGTTTTAAAGATTGTACTGATTACTTTTAAGACTCTACATGGTCTCTCCCCCTGCTATATTTCAAACCTTTCAATACCGTACACACCGGCTCTACCTTGAGAACCTCAGGCACAGGTCTGATGTCTGTTCCAGAGGCCTGGCTGAAAACTAAAGGGGAGAGAGTGTTTGCAGCACTTTTAAGTCCTGTCTACAAACAAACTTTTAACAGGGAGCCTACACAGATTTTACTTGAATTTTAATTTTCATTATCTTTTACTTCCTAAATGTCCACAACCAGACACAAAAATATATTACCAGAGGTGGGGCCAAGTCATTGTTTTACAAGTCTCTAGTCAAGTCCCAAACAAGTTATAATGTGCCACATTCACTAAATATGATGTGATTTTAACAACAAAATAGTCATATATTAAAGTTATGTAATGTTAATTCTTCATGATTCTTTACTACAACTTTGGATGCTGTCAGATTGGTACAGCCAAGAAAGATATAAAGACACTGGGGGTTGGTGGCTGGAAGATAGTTGATTGTTGAGTCTCATTCCCAGCAGGGTAAGTATTGTATTTTTTTTCCAGTTCAGTTTCTAAAATGAATTTGCTCATTTCAGTTTAGTTTGTATGTTTTTTAATTATTATAAAAGGGGTGGTCTTTTCAGCCAAGTTTTGAAAAAGTTCAGAACAGATAGTACAATGCAAACACACATCAACATATGCCCCAGTGTCTCCTCAGGATTGTTGTGTTTGACCAAATTGACAAACAAAGTTAGTTTTCTTTTTTCTTTTAAAGTCTAGTTGTTGTTTATTTCAGTTAACTAAAATGTTTTTCCACATCTGGTTTTAGTTTTTAGTTTAGTTGTATTTAACTATAATAATAACTCTGATTCATATGTCGTATTATTGCTATTATTATTATTATATTATTATTATTATTATTATTATTATTATCCTACCTTGTTCCCGATGTGTACATCAGCTTTCGCCTTGACCAGCAGTTTGACACACTGAGTGAAACCATGCCAGGACACTTCATGCAGCGCAGTGTTGCCGTCCTCAAACAGATATTGGACACAGTATACACATCACAAACCGTTGTCATTTTATCAACCACACAAACTGAGAATGAGTAAATGAATTTTGCAGTGCATTGTGGGTGTATGACAGTGTCCACCACTCACTCTGTCTTGCAGGTCCAGAGCACAGCCTCCCTGAATCAGAGCAGCCACGGCATCACTGTTCCCCACCATGGCAGCCCGGTGCAGGGCCGTCTGGTGACCCTGGCGTGATGAAGAAGGTGCGTTGACCACTGCCTGCCCGCTCATGACTGCTGACACACACACACACACACACACACACACACACACACACACACACACACACACATTCATAGGTCTGTACCTGTACAGTATATGCAAGCATTTTCACAAAACCTGTCAATAAAACAATAGAAGATCATTTTAGTTAGATAATAAAAATAACACCTCTGTTCTATAGCTGTGTTTCCACCGCAGGAACTTTCCCCTATTTTAACACCCAAAGAGTGCCTGGTTACTAGTTATTAGTTTTATAAAAGTACAGGAACTTTGGGGGTGGGGCTTGCAGCACTGAACACTCCTTCCATTCCATTTCAGCATATTTAAAAGTTCTGCAGACGCAAATCAGTTTGTTTTTGTTCATTGTGTTTCAACACATCGGCATGTAGTAACAGAAGAAAGCATACAACTGATGTCATCTTTTTTTATATGCCAGTAGACTAATTTGCCTAATCTTGCCTAACAGATTGGAGGAACCTTTTAGTTCCATGAAAAGTATTTGATAATTCATGATTTGATCTTGAAGTTTTAAATTTGAGGAACATCAAAAAACACATATTTTAGAGTTTAGAGTAATTATTTAGAGTAATTATAGTGAATGGATTATTAAATCTGTGGGCCAAAGAAATCTATTCATGTATATGCTGCAACACTGCCCTTATTTAGTGTTTAATGTTCAATCTTCACTCCCACTGATAATATGTTTCTCTTGCTTTACATAAATTACAATTGCCAATATCTAGCGGTGTATTTGCAGTTTGCAAATCACTCGTTTCTCCCTCCTCTTCCAAGCGTAATGTGAATGCCCCCTGTGTAGGTACATTGATTTTATTTTTTTATTCCTAGCAAATGAAACTATAAATGTTCAATATTGTCTGGCACACTTAGCACATTGTTGGCTCCCTCGCTAAAAACCACTGACCTGAATTCTCATGCTGACTGTCCTGCTCCTTTAATGTTAAGCATCTGACCCAGATGACAAAGGATTTCATGTCAGTGCTGCAGTATTTGAGCTCAGATTATGTTCTAACCATCAACCTTTAATCTTTGTCGGATTATTAAGTGTCTTGAACCCAAAGCATGTGTACATAATGCTGAAACACTTGCTAGCTACCTTGAGATGTGTTATAATATAGATTAATGTCTGTACATGTCTGTGTACTAGTTCACACACCTACACATCAAACACATCAACATCACACTGCAGCAGCAATGAACTGTGCAAAAGAGAGATTTCATTACTAAACTCTACATCCATACTTGCTTTTACATTTACATAATTTTATAAATGCATTTAAAGGACAAATCAGAACAATGACCCTTTCATTCACAGTTGGATCACAGACTGTAAGCGTGAATGCGTTTGGAGCCTGCATCAGAAACCTCTCATCTCAGCTCTTTTCATTCAGATTGGACAATTAAAGGAATTGTGCTTTCAGGCCAGCATTATCTGATCTTTACTGAGGGTCAAAGGTAAGCCTCTGGCTTAGTGGAAATTACATTTTAGCCTAGCTTAGCATAAATACTGGAAGCAGGGGGGAAAACAGTACGTAATTTGAACAGAAAAAATACACCTAGCAACACCTCTAAGGCTTATCTATCCGTCTATCTGTCTATCATTGCATTACTAGATTTGCTTCAGTTTCATTTTGTGTACTTGGAATTATTTTATGCAAAAATGTCAAAATGTCAAAATAAAACAATGTAAGGCAGCACAATGCAGTCAATAAAGAAGGGTTATAATGTTATAATGGATTCTTTGTGGCAGAACAATGAAAAAAGATCCTTCAAAGATAGTGATACATATAATAATGTTACCTGTTAGTGTGCCTGAAGAAAAAGAGTTGATTCTGAGATGAAGTCTTTTGGTTGCATTAGAGCTCTGCTCTATTAGCTCTTTAGTTGTTTTTTACATGCAGGACGAGGCTGTTTAGCAGAGACTGAAGGCTCTGTTAGTATAGTTTGTGTTCAGGTCTTCAAAGTTTACATCTTATATACTAATCAAAACTTTAAAAACAACAACATTAATTTAGTTTTCTTCATAGAAATTAACAAATGCTGAGATGTAGGCCTACTGAACATTTCTTTAAAAAGTTGTCTTATACCCCTTAAAATCTAGAAGGCCTTGCAGCCATCTGTGAAGCTTTGCCGACCCCTAGTGGTGTTGGGACCTTCAGGTTGGGAATGAGCGCATTTAGTTTGATGAGCTGCATGAAGAGTTTTAAAAAAGTATACTCAGTACAGAGAAATAAGGGTTGGTACTTGAATAATAAACCCTGTCATGTCATGTAAATGCCTAATTAAAGGCTAGTAAAATAATATACTAATTACATACATTAAAATATGTTCAAACGTGAAGCTATACACTCAAAAGACAACAGATCTTAATAAAAGAAGTCAGTTAACATAAACAAATCCTCCAAAAAATGTCCCTCATAAACCTAACTCAAAAATGAACTGTTGAAGCAACTCAGTTGTTCTGAGTGCACTTAAATGTGTGCAGTATTTTAAGTATCGGTGACATAATTCCAGTTTGTTCCACTGACTCATTTTCTTTAAATACATTGTGTTTCTTTAAGTGATTTAACATCATTATAAAAATGTAAGCATAAAGGATTTAGCAATTTTTGTTTTGTTATTTCTTTTCATTATCATCATCATCATCATCATCACAAACCCAAGTATGCATCCAAATACTGTTTAATGATCGCTCCAAGTGTAAAGACTTGATGTTCGTCACATAAAAAAACCCACCGAAAATGTACTTGCTACCATTTTGAATCAATTAATTATACACTTTTATCGTATGTCAGCTGTTTAGACAGGTAATAATTTGCTTTAGTGGAAGAAAAGATAAATCCGTTCACACATTTTAAATAAGTTTGGAGAAATGCTGCATATGAGTGTAACTTCATTTAACAGTTAACAGTACAGTAAACAGAATTTACCTAAGTTACCATAACAATGAGAGAGAGTTAGAGTTACTTCTACTCAAATCAAATATATTTTATGCTGACATTGTTTGAGTTAATAAACCTAAACAGTTTAAGGCAATCAAGCAACAGTTTGTGTTGATCTAACTCATCAGGTTTTACAGTGTATAATTTGTTGCTGCATTTTTCAGTGTTATTATTGATGTTTCATGAGGCTGGCTTTTGTTAAAATGTAAGTTTAATTATAGGTTCTCACAGAAAAGAAGGGCATTGTCCAGTTCCACATGTTTTACCTTATCCTTCATAGAGCCTGCAGACTTCAGTCAGTCGCTGCTGTAGCCGAAAGGAGCATCCATGCAAAATCCAAACAAGCCTTTAAAAATAGTTGGTAGCTGGGTTTGTAGTGTGTAAGAGGATGATACAGCAACAGCAACAGCAACAGCAGGCCGGCTACTCAGTGTGTGAAGATGTGCTGAGAGGACGGCAGCTGTTGTAGTGCACTACAGCTTAGAGAGAGAGAGAGAGAGAGAGAGAGAGAGAGACAGAGAATGGGTTTCGTACATATAGCTACGATAATACCTTTAGCCCTTCATCTACACATGCACACAGCCATGTAAAAAGCTTTAATCATGTTTATGACCAGTTCATCTGTGATGTCAAATTACAAAAAAGTGTCAGCTGACATCCAGCTCATCTGGGGAATAGCGTGCTTTGAACCTCTACTACTACCACTACTACTACTACTACTACTACACACACACACACACACACACACACACACACACTTGTTTTTGCCCCTCAGGAGGCCCACCAGTTTTTTGCTCATTTATGGGGTCCACCCTTTCCAGTGGTTCTACACTGCTGTAAAAAATCAGGTAAGATAAAAAAAAATCCCAATCACTTCAATTTAACAAAATTTTAAACTTTTGTCTCCATCGAACAGAAACTAACATTCATACACATTCACACACCGATGCATGGCATTGGGAGCAATTTGGGGTTCAGTATCTTGCTCAAGGATACTTCGACATGTGGCACCAGGAGCTTGGGGATCGAAGCCACAACCTTCTGATTAAGGAACGACCCGCTCTGCCTCTGAGTCATTACTGCTGACGGTTATAAAGTCCCGTCACCGCACCTAATTATAATTTCCCAAACACGGATGTTTAGCAAACTGCGATTAAAAGAGCATTTCATGAGATGACTGGGTTTTCTGACGTGATCGGTGCAACCATACGGCTGGTTGTAGCCTACACATATGTGCGTCTGAAGCCTCCATCCACCACGCTTGTAATCAGTCATTTCTTACAGTTGGAATTCATTTTCATGTTGGTGCCGTTAGTTACAGTAAATCAGCAGCAAAGGAGTTGTGTGTTTCTTCATAAATAAAACTATACAAAAGATATTAGACTAATATTTTCTTCATTGAGTGATGCAAGTCTGTGAAAGTTTGGGTTATCTATACAAATAGTCTCACTGAATCAGAGGATTCTGAGTGGTTAATTGTCGAGTCCATATTTATATCATAATACAGTTTGTTTCTTCAGTAACCTGTGGTGGATATCAGACAACTGATGTTTGGCCAATATAAAAGTTGATAATGCGATTACATGGATTGTGGGCTGTCAAACAGCCTATTGTAAAGCAATCATGTCCACTAAATATATGTAGTTTAATATAATTCAGCACTAAATATTTTATGTTTCAATTTGATTTCCAATTGTGTGGCCCTTCACATACTTTATCGGAGTCAGTATGGCCCACTGGAAAAAAAAATTGCCCAGCCCTGGTCTAACACATGACACCAAGTAAGACCCCCCCCTCCAGAGATCAAGTTTGCCGATCGCCTACTTCTCTGGTTGTAAAAGACCGCACTATAGCAATACACTGCAGTCTATTTCTCCACCAGCCAACCGCCATCAAAAAAGCCACTCATAGCCACAAATAATGCTCAGGTCAGCACCAAACTTCATCAACAGTACAAACAGGGTCCCAGCACATAATACGAGGCATCAAAACACCTGCTAGCTTGGCCTGGTTTCTATTGAAAAGAGACGAAAACAACTCACACACTCCTTCTGTGATTCAGTCAGGATGGATGGATGGATATAGATCTATCTATCGATCTATCGATCTATCTATGTCTGTATATGTATATTGTCGCACAATAGGTCTTATTCCCTTCCTGGGTAGGAAGCTCTTTTAGGTGTATTAAGAATTCAGAGACATGCTTTTATTCAATGATATGATGACCAATAGACTATTTTCATTAAAAGCAAGGTAAAAGACCTTAAAAATAATTGAGTGGCACTGGTCCAAAAGAGGATGCAAGTCCCAAAGCTTACCTCTCTTTCTTGCAGACCCACACTGGTTTAGGACTTGTGATGTGGAGGTACATTCTTGCAGGGATGACATGGTGACCTCATCTTCTGACCCCTGTTCTCCTGGCATACTGACATCTAGACACAGAAATAACTTTATTAAAAAATACAAGACATAAAATATGAAGAAACTGTCAGTACAGTGATTATTTTATTGTAATTTATAAAATAATTTAGTATATGGCATTTGTGTCTCTTAAAGACCCCTCCAATCATCCTTTTTAGCTATTTTAAAGCGTTCTCAGCTTCTTCTGCAGAGCGCCAGTAGCTCATTAGCAATGCGCCTCTGAGTCGTGGGTGGAGATGTCACTGCTCTGCACCCTCCACCCGTTTGCACAGAACACTCCCATGCTGCTGAGAGCTCGGTCTTTACGATAGGTTGAAGGTTGAAGCCCTGCAGCCCCTCCGTCACAGGTTGTTGCGTCACAATCCCAGTCTGCCTCAAACTGCCAGTTTGCGTCTGCCTTTGGTTCACAGCATTTTTTTTTTTTTTTAACTTATTTTTTATTGGGTTTTCAGTGACAACATTTCAGTATATACAGCTTAGCCAGCTGTAGACAACAATTGTACACATTATATCCAAATTAAGATTACAAGCAAGTAAGACAAACAAACAAAAATGATACAAAAACAAATACAAATACAAATATCCACTCCATATTAAATACATTAAATATATTAAAACAAATATACACATTCAGGCATTCATATATACACAAGCACATACAAATAAGCAATCAGGAAACCAGCAGGGCTTACACTAAACATCGTGAGGCACTGTGTGGATTATGTAAAAAAGGTAGTAGAGGGGGAAGGCTAACCAGTCTTATTGTATTAATAAAGACACGACGGGACTCCACCGCTTAGTAAAGATGGACTTTTGGAGCCTTAATAAATATATAATGTGCTCCATCAGATAGAGGTCCCGTACAGTGGCGGCTGGCCAATAGAGGGCGCTAGGGCGCCGCCCCCCTTGAGCCACAAAAAAATAAAATTAAAATAAAAAATTAAATAATAATAATAATAATGATAATAATAATGATAAAAATATCAGTATGTCAATATTTGTGTGTTTGAAATATGGAATGCATCCAGTAATATGTGTAAAATATGATAGAAAATCCTATTGGCAACCTTTCCTCTGCCTGTCTGAAGCCTCATCAGCTCTGGCCGATAGAGAAAGCGCCCCCAGGAGGCGGGTCTATGTAGCAGTTAAGCCAATTGCTAATTTAAGATATGAATGTATGACATAAAATTCAGCCAATCAGCGTCCTTAAGATTGTGTTAAGTTTTGTGGGGCTTTTGAGTTGGCCTTGCGTGGGCATGACGAGACTAACTCGGACTCCTCGGACAACCCCGGCATTTTCCGGGGCTTGGTGGATTTTGTTGCCTCCCTTGACAGTGTGCTGGAGGAGCACCTGAACACAGCTACCTTTTTTAAGGGCAGTCACAAGACGATACAGAACCAGCTGTTGGACTGCATGCTGTCAGTGCTCAAGGATTACATCCTGGAGGAAGTAAAGAGTGCTGATTTTATCGCCATTCAAGCCGACGAGACGACTGACGTTTCCACCCACTGCCAGCTGGTGCTTGTGCTACACTACATCGATGCTAACAGTAACATCCAAGAGCGGTTTTTCGAGTTCATTACCATCCAGAACGCAACCGCCGACACCATCGCTACAGCGCTGCTGGAGAGGCTCAGCACCATACTCTCACATGGACAAAAGGCCAAACTTATTGCCCAGGCTTACGACGGAGCAAGTGTGATGAGGGGAGCCACCGGCGGAGTGCAGCGTAAAATAGTGGATGTGTACGAAAATGCACACTACGTCCACTGCTATGCACATCAGCTGAACCTCATCATGCAGCAGGCTACTTCATGCATCCCCAGGATCGGCACTTTCTTTTCCGACCTTGCAGGATTTTCTGCTTTCTTCTCCAGGTCTACCAAGCGAACCACCGTGCTTGACCAAGTGGTTGCCCATAGACTCCCCAGAGCCTCTACAACACGGTGGAACTTCCACAGTCGCGCTGTAAACACTGTGTACGAGCACAAGGATGACCTCCTAACGTGTTTCCAGACCATCAGAGACTCTGGGAACTTTGACCCCCCGACTGTCAGAGAGGCTGGGGGCTTTGTGAGGATGCTCGAAGACGAGGCTTTCTGTTTTTTCCTGGCACTGTTCCACAAGATCATGCCAAATGTGGACATGCTTTTCAGCCAGCTGCAGAAGAGGAACATCGACCCTGTCTTCATTAAAGAACTTGTCCAGAGGTTCACAGACAGCATGCTAACGATCAGGTAAATAACTATATTTACTATTGGCTGATAAAGCTGTTGTTGTTAGAAAGATGAATAGCTCACTTCCAACAGTGTAAAAGCCTAAATGTGTCTTGTCATCAAAGTGAGTGATTATAGAGCACATCACAATTATATTTGTTTTAGTATTTTAAAAGGAAAGAGAAGACACAATCAGACTTGGATAATAATGCAGGAAAGTATTACACAGTTAATTATGACAGTTAATAACAGGCTTATTCAGAGGCCTAGTTGTTATTGAAGATTGAAGATTAACTTTATTGTCATTTAGACTATCACTTACAAAGGACAAGTGCACAGGAGAACAAAATTATGTTGCATCCCTCTCACAAATGTAATAGAAAACTGCTAAAAAACGTAATAACATAAGTTAATTATGTACATCACAAGTTAAAAGCAGTTACTAGACATATTGTGTGTGTGTGTGTGTGTGTGTGTGTGTGTGTGTGTATATACGATATGTCTAGTAACTGCTTTTAACCTGTGATGTACATAATTAACAGTCAGTCAGTGGATGTGCGTGTGTGTGTTGAGGGGGGGTTACAGTGGGTTAAGAAGTCTGATGGCAAGTTATCAAATTAAACTTTATTTTTTGGACCCAGGGCCTCCATTCCCTCTTTGTGTGGGGACAGCGCATCTGACGAGCAGCAGCAGCCCATAAAGCGATGGAGGATGCTGGGACCAGGAGAACAACAGAGGCTGGCTACAGAGGTAAGTTGTGATGTAATTGTCAGTGTTTCCCCTAGAACTTTATTTCAGGCCTGGTAGTATGTAGCCAAAACCAAAAACCCTGAACAATCAGCTCCTTAGTTATCATATACTTGACTTGGACATAGGCATGTGTTCAGTCAGGATCACTTGCATCAAAATAGCTTTATTGCAAATTAAAGCTGATGATGTATCTTTTACAGGTATGTGATACCATCCTGATTCATGCCAAGGAGAGGTTCTCCTTCACGCAGCACCTCATCAGCGCGACACTGTTGCACGGAAAGTTGTTCCCACAACACAGTGTGAAGTTCCCCGATGCAGCGCTTGAAACAACCGTGGAGGCGTACCCGATGTTGAACAAGGCCAAGCTCAAAACCGAACTGTCCCTCATCTATGAGAACAGTGAGTTCAAGGCTTGTAGTGGTGCAGTGCCTCTGTACCAGTTCTTCATGGAGAACAACCTTCAGAGCACTTTCACAGAGACTGTCAGCCTCCTCAAGATCCTCATCACCACACCCATGACAACAGCTGAGTCAGAAAGGTGCTTCTCTACACTGAAGAGGATCAAGACCTTCCTGAGAAACAGCATGACACAGGATCGCCTGAATGCTCTGGCTATGCTCTCCATGGAGAAGAAACTTGTCAAGGACATTCCTGACTTTAATAAAAGGGTCATTGAGAGGTTTGCCACTCAGAAGGACAGACGGGCAAAATTCCTGTACAAATAAAATGACACAAACACACACACACACACACACACACACACACCCCGCATGAAAGTATACCTTATTTTTTAGTTAAAACAAAATTAAACTATGAATTATTTTTACTATATGACTCATCACAGAAAGGTATATGTCACAGTTTAGTGAGGATGCTAAAGCCTAGTTTGACCCAGTGCATATTAATGATGGAAAATTCCCTAACACGTGCTGCTTAGAGTAAACAAAAATCAAACAATAGATTGGCATCTAAAGCCGCTATTCTCTGTCATAATCTTGAAATGAATAAACAAATAATGCAAATAATCAGCGCATGATGAGCTGCACACGTACCGACAGCGTTTCTGTGGTTTCTCCTCACGTTGAAGAAGTAATGGTTGTCATTCATTCATTAATTTGTGATCCGATTATTAATCTAACCCAGATTTATAGATAGAATGTGTTTAGTTTGGGACATAACCAGAATATATGGGTATGATTGGCAGTATGTGCTCCAAAATTCCTCCAGCATGAGCTGGAATGTGACTGGCTCATTATAGATACTATTTCTGGAGTCCTGAAAAATTTAACAATTATTTTCCACTTGAATTTCCTCCATGTATTTGAACTTGAGGCCAGGTGTGCCTCACTACACACCTCCTCCCAGGCTTCCTGCGATATAAACATGTCCATTTCAACCTCCCATCTCTGCTTTATCTGCAAGGAGTTTTGTGTATTCATGGATAAAAATATATTGTAGAATCTACTAATCATTTTTTCATCTCTATTTCCTGTTTGTATTTCTATTAGGAACTGTTCGATAGGAGAAGTTTTTATGAGTTTTCCCCATTCCTTGTGCCCTGTCAGAAATGTTCTAAGTTGCAGATATCGATGGAAATATGAGTTAGGGAGACCATAACCACTTCTCAACTGCTCAAATGTCCTTAGATTACCAAAACTGAATAACTGGTGCAGATAAACCAGGCCATACTCTGACCACCTTCTGAAGCCGATGTCCAAATTATTAGGTATAAAGCTCTTTATAGATCCAATGCTGATTAATGGTGAGATTTGTGTCGGTAATCCAAAAGTTGACTGTACTTTAACCCAGATTTTAAAAGTATTCTTAGTCCAAGTTTCCATTTCCTTTATGGGAGCATCCAGGAAGGGCAGGTCTTGCAGAGATTTTAATGAGCATAGACTTTTTTCTGTGTTGAGCCAACGCGTGTCTATATTGTTCTGAAGCCACGCTATCCTAGGCTTCATTTGTGCAGCCCATTAATAATATTTTAGGTTTGGGAGTTTAAGACCCCTGTTTGATTTAGATAACTGTAGAGTTTTAAGTCGAATTCTAGGGCGCTTTTTTTGCCATATAAATTTTGACATCATTCTCTCCAAATTATCGAATGTACATTTTTGAATTTCTATAGGTAACATCTGAAACAAGTAAAGTAATATGGGTAGAATGTTCATACGGATACTTTCAACGCGCCCCAGCAGAGACAGAGGTAGCATAGACCGTTCTAAATCATTATTAATGCTACAAATTATTTTACTATAATTAGCGTCAAACAGATTCTGCAGATGGGGGAATGTATATACCTAGATATTTAATACCTTCCATGTGCCATTTAAATCCACTCTGAAGCTTTACACTATGTGGGACCGTGCCATTTATATCCATAGCCATAGTTTTCTCCACATTTACCTTGTATCCTGAATAAAATCCAAACTTGGAGATTTGTCTTTTTAAATGTGGTATCGTTAATGCCTGTTTTGTCAGATACAGAATAACGTCATCAGCATAAAGCGATAATTTGTGTTCCTCTTCATTAATTACAATTCCTTTTATATCATTATCATCCCTGATGAGTTGGGCTAGCGGTTCGATACTAATAGCAAATAGTAAAGGTGATAAAGAACAGCCTTGTCTGCATCCACGTTCCAAAGTGATTCTCTCTCATCTACAGCCATTAACTTTGACAGCAGCCTGTGGTGACGAGTACAATGTTTGTATCAGAGTTATAAAGTTAGGGCCGAATCTAAGTCGCTTTAATGTTTGAAATAAATATTGCCATGATACACGGTCGAATGCCTTTTGGGCATCTAAGGATATAATTAATGATTCTAACTTCCTATCTTGCTGGTGAGATACTATGTTTAGTAAGCGGCGTACATTATCTCCGTAATATCTCCCAGTGATGTCTGAGTCTGATCGGGATGGATTATTTGAGTGATTATCTGATTCACTCGCCTGGCCAGGACTGCTGTTAACATACGCAGGTCCCCATTCAGCAGTGATATTGGTCTGTAGGGTTGACATTCAGTGGGATCTTTACCCTCCTTATGTATCACCACTATAGTTGCCTCATTCCAGGATGGTGCCATAATTTTTGATTCAAGTGCATGCCGGTATGCCTTTAGTAACAGTGGTGACAGCAAATCTTCAAATGTCTTATAAAATTCATTACTATAGCCATCTGGACCTGGGCTTTTATTGTTTTTGAGAGATGAAATCACCTGCTTGATCTCCCATTCTTCAATTGGCCTATCTAACTCTTCTGCTGCAGACTCCGTCAGTTCAGGCAATTTTATGTGGTTCAGAAACTCTGCAAGTTTCGTGTCATCTGAGCAAGTGTCTGTATTTTTATATAAACCTTTATAAAACTCTGCAAAGGATTCTGCTATTTTATCAGGTTTTGTAACAAAGGTGTCCTGTAACTTTACTCTCTGCACTGTGTTAGATGCTTGCTGTTTTCTTAAACTAAATGCTAATAATCTACTCGCCCTATTGCCATATTCATAGTATCGCTGCTTGGTAAATCTCAGTGTTCCCTCAATTTTGTCCGATAGTAAACTATTAAGTTCTCTACGAGCTGCATTCAAATTATTTAGGATACTGATTGAAGCCGATTTTTTGTGTTTTTGTTCCAGCTCTTTTATTTTATCCTCCAGTTCTCTCTGTTTAGACTCTTTTTGTTTTTTCCTGGCGGGTGAAAATGAAATAATTCGGCCCTTGATATATGCTTTAGCACAATCCCACAGTATCAATGGTGATGTTTCAGGCGAGGTATTGGTATTTAAATATTCCTTAAACTCTGCTATGATGAAGGAGACAAATTCTTTATCGTTCAGAAGAGATGCATTTAGCCTCCATTGCTTGGAGGTTGGTCTGTGGCCTATATTCCACTTAAGCGCGGTGGGTGCATGGTCTGAGATTGTAATAGGTAATATCTCAATATCTACTATCCTATAAGACTCATTCATAGGTGTGAAAAAATAATCAATCCTTGAATAGGACATGTGTCTACTTGAGTAGAAAGTAAAATCTTTACTTCTTGGAAATTTGCTCCTCCATACATCCACAAGACCTGACTGTGGATAGATGTTTAAGCATTCTGCTCATTTTGGACAAGGGGGTTTTCGAGGCGGGTTGCCGATCCATTAACTGTGACATCACACAATTAAAGTCTCCTCCCATCAACAATAGACCAGTGCTATACTGAAATATTATATCAAACAGTGTTCTGGTAAAGCCTGGCTCGTCTTCATTGGGTGTATATATGTTTAAAAGGGATACCTCTATGCCATCAATTAATCCATTGACCAAAACATATCTTCCTTCAGTGTCTTTGTGCGCCAATGTTTGTGTGAAGTTGATTTGTCTGTGTATAAGTATGGAAACTCCCTTACTTCTCCCAGAGGGGTGTGAGGAGTCAAATACTTTATCGCCTATTACTTTTTTTACTTCTCATGTTCCCCATCAGGTAAATGGGTTTCCTGCAGATATGCTATCTAACAGTTAACCTGTTTCAACTGGTGCAAAATTTTCTTTCTCTTAATAGGATTATGAAGACCCTTAACGTTGTAGCTTATGACTTTTAGTGTGTCCATTATGTATAATCTAAAATATATATCTTAGTCTTAGACATGCGGCGACCAGGAGGAGAAATGAGGAGCAAAAGCGAACACTTGGAACATAACTCATCAGCACGGTTATGTGGATCATGGGAAGCAGTGATATTGACTGGGTACAGAGGGAGTGGAAAAGGAAATAACTACAGCTGTGTCTACAATTTCCATCATTAACAGAATCAGTAAGAATCCTGATGTAGAGAAAAGTTGGTGTCTTTGTTGTTGCGGTGTTTGTCACAGGGTCCCCAAAGAACAGAGGGATCAGAACAACCAAAAGAACAAGATAGCTAATGGAACTACAGCTAGCCAACGTTAGTAAAGCAATGGTGGGACCAAGTCCTAGCCGCAAAAGTAAGCAGCAAGTGTGCACGCCTAGGTTTAATTTGACTGTGCTTGGGGCACACTAGAATAAAAATAAAAATAAATCGGTTCTTGGGCTCCTGCAAATTCTTATACAGTTTCAGCATCTCCTTATTAAAGTATAGCAACTCGAATTACACACAGAGTTAAGTTCAACATAGATATTGAAAATACTAAATCTGCACTTTCCAAAGTATAGTAATGAGAAATAGTAGAACTATATCAACTTACGTAGTACTGAGGTATTAAACTCTCACTTATAGGAAGAAAGTGCTAAATTAAGTAAAAAATATGGCAATACGGTTTCCATTGTAGATCAGCGGTCATCATGGTACAGCTTGACGATGATCACTCGTGGCTTCTCCCAGTCTCCTGTTGTCCGGGGAGTTGCTCACTGTCACACTTACTTTTCTGCTGATATGTCCTGTAGCATCAGAAAAATGAGGAAGAGGAGTGGTAAAAATCAATCTGCTTTCATCGTTCAAGCTCACCTGTTGGAGACACTCCCTGATTTTGGACTTGTGATGTGGAGGTGCAGTCGTGCAGGGATGACATGCTCTCCTCATCTTCTGACCCCTGTTCTCCTGGCAGACTGATATCTGGACACAGAAAAGGTTTATTCAACCATGCAAGACAGACATGTTGACCCTAATATTAAGTAGTCAGTAAAGCTTGCTTGATAAGGATATTAATCAAATAACTGTTGTGATTGTGACAGTAGTGATCAAGGGTATACAGATTGTATAAAATGATCCGTAGTAAAAATGCATGCCATCGCCAAAGGTTCACACCGCAAGACAATACTTTTAATATTGGGTTTCTGTATCCAACAATGTCACTTTTTATGTAAATGAAAAAGAATACTGTACACATCCAGGAACAAACGTAATTGAGCAAAGGCTATTGTATATTGTTTATTTCATTGGAGTATGACTACAAAGAAGCCTGTGGAACCAGTTCAGGCAGACATCTCAGAGCTGCACCAAATCTTGATCAGCTGATCCGTCACATGCTCCCTTCAATTGCTTGGTTTCACATGACGTCACATTGCTGCTTCGCAAGAGCGTGAAATCCAGATGGAGGGCAAGAAGTGAAGTAACCGAGAATCTGCCGTCTGAAAAAATGCCTGTTTTGTTTAGTTTACGGCTGCTCCAATCGTTCTAACTGAGAAAAGGGAAAGGGTACCAAAGATTGTCGTTCATAAAGGTGAGAAATGTAAAAAGCTCACAGAACAACGCCGTAAAAAATGGATTTTAAACGTACGTCTGTGGTCTGGAGGAGCAGAGTCTGCTAATGCCCTAGTCTGCAGCGGCCACTTCGTCGAGGTAAGTTATGTTAGCTAGCTAACTTGGTTTTTGAGGCTGTGTTTATACAGCATTAGGTTGTCATTAAATGCTCATTTACTTAGTAATGATTATTAAGTTACCGGTAATCTAATATGGACTTCATTGGGACTTTTCTAGGCTGCCCTAGCGCTTTGGGTGACGTTGAGTCGGTAGACTGGGCTCCGACAGTCAACCTCGGTTACCAAAAAACTAAGCCCATATCAGAGGCATCTCTTCAACGAGAGCAGAGGATGAAGCTCAAGGAAGACCAACAAAGACAGTCGGAATGTGCAGAGGCTATGTTGGATCTCCAGCAGACAGCTGAGAGCCCGGGTATGAGCCCAGATCTAACGCCGACTGCTCCGAACCGAAGCAGCCGGCTGACAACAACTCACAATCAGAGGGCATCAGCGGGAATGGGACATTCAATGATCAAGGTAAATTATTGTACTGATGTGTAACCAGCATTATTATTAAATGTTACAAATGTGATTGTCAGAAAATCACCTTGTATAATTGGGCCAGAAAACTTGCATGTTTGTAAAAAGGTTGTCAAAAAGATAACTTCACAACAATTCACATAATTCATATTCATGAATTAACTAATTATGCTCCCCACTGCTATATTGCAGGCTATGCAGATACCGGATGCCAGACTGAGCTAACGATGGATGACATTGAGAAGATGGAGGATGTTCTGATACAGAACACAACAGAGCTTGGAGATCTTCGAACCAAAGCACTGGACACACAGTTCAACCAGGAGTCCTTTGAAAAAATCACCATACTGTAAAATTTCTGATTGGTGTTGCACCCCAAGGCTATGTCACTGACATATCTGGTGCCTGGGGAGAGAGAGTCAGTGATAAACAGATCACAATAGAGAGTGACCTCCTAAAAAACCTGTTACCTGGAGATATTGTCCTATTAGACCGTGGGTTCAATATTGGCGATAGTGTGGGATTTTACTGTGCTTCACTACAGATACCTGCATTTACCAAGGGGAGAAAACAGCTGTCAGCGTATGAGGTGGCAGAAACTAGAAAAATAGCTAATTTGCATATTCATGTTGAGAGAGTCATCAGTTTAGTCAGAAGAAAATATCAGATTCTGCAAAGCAGGGCTATGCCCATAGAGCACATGGCAACAAAACCAGGTGAGGCACTAGCACTGATTGACAAGATTGGGGTTATTTGCTGTGTCTTGTCTAATCTTTCGGAGTCTGTCGTCCCACTGGAGTAAGGAGGAGGGGAAGAGAGGGAGGAGAAGAGAGGAGGGAGGGGGGTAGGGATAGTCCAGGACCTGATCCCTGACGCACATCAGTCGGTAAATATGTAATGTTAATGTAATGTAATGTAAATATGTTTTGAAATGTAATATTTTTATCCACTAGTCCAATTGTACTGGCGATATGTACTATATATAATGAAATGGATTCCAATATATTATTGCACACTATGTTCTTGTAGTTATTATAACAATTGTTGAAAAATCTAATCTTGTAAATAAACCACCATGTATTATTCTGTCTTCTCAATGGCATTTAATCTTTCCAGTAAACATCCTTTCATCACATTACACATGCACATTTGTAACTTGCTGTCGCATTATTTCTGGAAGTTTACTGTTTTTAAAAAAGCACTCAACTTTAGGAATCACATCATCCCAAAGTTCAAGATCAGGCAAAATCCTTTCAACAAAAATGTCATTGCGGTTCCACACAACAAAGTCACAGTACTCAGCATCTACAATGTGAAGCTGTGCCTGAACTTGGTAATAGTAGTCATGACTCCAGTCCAGCGTGACCTTATCCCCATCATTGATGAGGCAGAAGCCCTTTCCCCCAGCACACAAGCGCAGATTGGCTTCATCTTGGTGAGAGTGGGGGCACTAAAATCACAGTGAGAAGGACATGTGAACAATAGATTAGCAAAGATATTATCTGCCTTTTTGCTCAGTTGAGGACTTGAGACTCGACTCAGACTCGAGATTTAGGGACTTTACTACAACAGAGACTGTAATATCACCTTAACCTCGCAGATGCCAGTTCCGTGACAGTCAGAAGTGACAATGCCATCAGGGGAGGACCCCATGTATGGCCACTTGGGGTTCAGCCAGAGACCACTGTCCATACAGGAGAAACCTGCATGCTCCCGACCCATCAGCTTCTCATACGCTCCTCTGGCTTGTGCTTTATGTTTGCATCCATAACTGTACACAGTACATATGCAAAACATGAAAAGGAAATTATTACTTAGTATTGGATATGTAGAGCCAGTTCAGTGATTTAAATGCCATTACCCTAACCCCTATACCTAGTTCTACTCCTGCATAACCCTAGCCTTATAACCCTATAACTAATGTTGACCCTTCAGGGCTGTCCATACCATGAATAAACTATGAAAACAGTAAACATTTGTTCTAACTGAAGAAGGTCTACAGTAGATGGCAGAGTATGGACCACAGCTTTATAGTTGTGGTATGGACTCTCCTCCCACTTCATAGAACACTTTTTTAGTTGCAGTTCTTAATGTGGACAGCCTCATACCCCAAACCTTACCTCTGCCTTACCCTAATTCAAACCCTAAATACCTTGTAGTGGCTGTGGTGAACCTATGTGCTTCTGGGTAGCATATGGCCTTGATCAAGCTCTTGGATGGTTGCTGGGGGTTGGTCTTAAGAACTTGTTTCAGTTTAGAGGCAGTTATGCGTCCAGCTCTTTGCCTTAACCAAATCCTGCTTGCATTCTGACTTCGAGTTGCCCTCTCTACAGCCTGGACCTGGGACAGGGTGAGCTCTTCTAGCTGGAAATCCTGGCATAGCTTTCCTAGCTGCAGAGTCTCTGGTGTTCTGTATTCAAGAACAGTTTTAGAAAGCCTGATAGACTTGGGGATGAATTCTTTGTGGTAAGGCTCCCTAGCCATCAGTGCTGCACTCTTCGGACAGTTTTTGCTTAAGGTCTCAAAAAAACTAGCATATGTTTCTGACCCTCTCTTCACTCTTGGGCATGGAAGTGATTTCCCAACCTTGTTTTCAGTTGTCCTGCCATCAATGGAACGATCAAGCTTTTGTTTTTTGGATTTTGCAGAGGAGAAGTCGATCAGAGCTACTGGAGCTGCAGGAATCTGAAAATAAGTTAACACAAAGAAGATCATTATATTCCATAACATATCTATATGCAGTATAAATCAGGCGTTTATCCGATGGCTGTGAGGAAAACAGGTAAGGCTATCATCACAGGACTGAGATGCCAAACTGTGTTTATGTGGGTCTTTGCTGTCTTAGCTCCTCTTTGCCCCACAGGGAAATTGTGACTGACCACATCATCATAATCACGTGACTTAAACCCAGGAATTGTTAGGGCAGGCTTTTCAAACCTCCCTGCTTACCTGATATTTCCTTTGCTGCTTGAGGTGATGTGCCATATACTCAGGCTATGCTTATACTTCTGCTGCGGCTTCTGCCCATTAAGTCTGCAACCCCACCTCCTCCCCAGCATCCACCTGTGGGGATCTTACCATTCATTCCCTGTAATATCTGTCAGGCAGATCATTTCAGGGAATAATATATCAAGACAGAGCCTGACGCCAACTTGCTTGCTGCTAGTTATAATAATTATTCATAACCAATAAAAGACATTAAATTCATCCAGAGTTGTCTGACTGAACTGAGTGAAAGAGGTTCTAACAGCTGGTCAGCTTATTCTCCCTCTCCTCTGTCCAAATATCTGTCCTGTTTACCGTATGTTTCTGTGCTGGTTCTTTATACTTTCTCTCCATTTTAATGAAGTAGAATATAGCATATATAAGGATTACCTATCATTCTTATTAATCCATAACATAATTAACATCACCACCTGTCATGTTCTGTGCTGTGTCTCTTAATTGGCAAAAGAAACATGGTGACGTTCATAATTTCTGAAGCTGCATTTGGAGATTTGCCAAGACAGATCTTTATAAAGTATTTGCAACGGCTTCAAATGCTCTGCAAATTACATGTTCACACTGCTGCAACTTTTCCCTGCAATATTCTAAAATGATTTTGTCCTGTCCTGATTCTGTGGTGTGAGCTGGGTTTTACAGATGAATGACAGTTCAGAGATATTTAATATTGTTACTGTACTTTGACAATACAGTGTACCATGGAGTAGATTACAATTACAGACCCCTGTCTTGCTGAACCAGACTTGCACCCCCAATGGTAGTGCATCACCTGGAGACAGTGTACTATATTTTGTGTCCTTGTCTTCACATAATGTCAGCAAATAGTGAATCAGGAAAACCTGCAGGCTTTCAATAGTGAAAACAAAATACAAATGCAAAAAGCTCATAAATCTTCATGATCAATGACAGATAGTTCATAACAAATTTAAAAACAATCATCACATATCTTCAATGTCCTCTTCTGAAGGCCCCTCCATGCCAATCGTGTCTAAAATGTTAATTATATATAATATTATTGAGTTGGAAAGCTGAGACTGTGGGCAATCTGCCAATTAAGAGTATACAAAAATACTGCAGAAAACTGCTGGACTGATCATGTTGTTTTAACTACAACTAAGTAGATACAATCAAAATTCAATACAAAACTATAAAACTTGCCCTCTTCTTCTGTATGTTTGTGTTTATGTGTAAGTGAGACACTCATTTTTGCATATGTATGGTCTTACTGAATTTAAAGAAGGTTAAAATTTTAAACTTGCAAATTACCTGCATACAATTCTATTACTTAATAAATTCCAGTTTTAGTCACTTACTGAATGCTGAAGACTAAGTGTCATATTGCACCTTTAAAATATAATAAGACTTAGTACCATTCATGTCAACTTGAATTTCATCCAGACTCTTTCCTTTGTATTCTCCTAGCTGTTCCATTGCCAGGAGCACTTTGCTGATTTTGGCCAACTGGAGGGTGCCCTCCGGAAGGCGGTAGTGCTTTCGGTGGACAGCAATATTATGCCCGAGGAAGTCTGCCAACTGATCGAGTTCTGTGGTCTAAAGGTTCAATACAGTAGAGAGGGTGGCGATATGTTTCCTTAGTTTTGTTGATGTTAATGCTTTCGGATTTTTGATGTGATCACATTCTTTCATAAAGTGCCTTATGCAGTCAGAAGCGTAATGGACAGAGTGTGGTAATGCAAAGAGATATCCATTTCCACACAGCACCCTTCTGTTGCTGCTGTTTCTCAGCTAGATGACAATGGAGCTTTTGGATATCTTTTTGGTAACAGTTGAGGAGCATTCCATTTGGTCTGGTCAAGTTGAGTTAATGCTTGGCATGCAATGTCAAATCTCCAACTTTCTTGATAAAGCAGCGCAAACTCCTCAGCATCTTGAGTAGCTTGTTTATCTTTCTTTTTCAGGCCTTTGGACTTGATAAACATGGCCAAAGAATGCAAGCTGTGTCCAACCTCGCAAGCAAGAGACGGATCGGTATTTGCCAGTTTGCTCACTGAATCCAGATAGGCTCTTTGCAGCAGTGACAACCTGACCATACTGTTCAGGTTTTATTAGTTCTTGGATGGTCTTCACATGTGTAACTTTTATTGCTTCCAATAACAGCCTGGCAAGCTCTGTCAGTTTTTGCCGAATGTACTGGTGTTGACTGACTATCCTCTCGTTCTTCTTGAACAGTCTGTAACCATACTTGAGAATGCAGCTTCTTTAATAGCAACTACAATCATGTCTTGATTCATAACACTTACGAACTTCCAATAAGCATTGTTAAATCCAGGTGGAGCAGGTTCAGCGAAAGCACACAAAGCTTGAACTCGAGTTTTACCTGGTTTAGTACTCTCAGGTTTGAAGCTGCATAGCTGAAAATGCCGCCACATTGCTCTTCTTGGGAACAAGCCATAGCAGTGAACACAATGTATAAATTCCTGTCCTTCAGATTTTTTCTGTGGTTGCTTCCATGGGATGAGTTTGCCTTTTTTGTGTCTCCAAAACGTCACTGTTGTGCTCAAAGTTCCCCTTATTTCGTATATAGTCTAACTGCTGTTTCCTTTCTTTTAAATTCTTTGGCAAACTGAATGCTTTTGCAACATCTGTTTCATCTTGGTGTTTACGCCACAAGTGTCTTGACATTTCCTGGACAAACGTTCTGCAATAAAAACAGAAATGTTTCTTCTTATAGCTTCTAGATCCATCCTCCTTCTTTAAAACTGGACTGACATACACAGCCTGCTCTTCTTCCAGGGGCAACACTCACATCCTTTTTAGAATATGTTACCACTATTTTCTTTTCATTCCCATCAACTCTGCTATTCGGAAATTTTTGTGTGGGGTCATGACTTGTTTCAAAGGGTCTCTTCTGGCTAAAATCAAGCTGGCTCTGACTGGAAGACTCACTTGTGTTCTGACTGGAAGACTTGCTTCTTCTCTGCTTGAAGGACTCACTTCCACTCTACCTGGGCTTCAACTTACTCTGACTGGAAGACTTTCTTCTGCTCTCACTAGATGCACCTTTGGTCTT